AATTCATCTCCCACGAAGCGAAATAAATGGTTTAAAGTTTTTAAAGACATTGTATCATAATATACTATTTTTTTGTAAGTAGAATAAAATATGCAGTATTTAAAAACAAAACAAATTCATAATATACATTAACTCGTGCTAGAATTTCGAATTTATTAAGTGGTTTAACATCATTACAGGTGGTCATCATTGGCTAGTCGCAATGCGGTCGTAATGGTTTAATAGCAACAATCACCAAGTGAATTATATTACAAAATTGAGTTTATAAGTTTAGGTATAATGTTATTTTCTATAATACCTTTAACATGGTAAAATGTCTAGAACTTACCTTCGAACGAATATATTTGTAATTCCTACACATAACAACATAGAGTATACGTTCTATACAACGTGCACACATTCGTGTATAAGAAACTGGCTAAAATTAAATTTAGTTCTTGCACTAGTTAGGTATACTAAATGTAGTAATCAATTTAAAACTCAGATGCCATCTAGTAGAACTCGTTTAATGTACCTAATATTATATTAAATCATGCATATCGTGTTCCATACATGTGTAATAGCTACAGTCAGGGAATACATGTGATAAGACTATAAAATTCAATAGAGAAAAAAAACATGTGATCTTACTCAAAATTGGATACTTACGACGTAAGCAATATAACAACGTTTAAATAACACTAAAAGTAATTTTTATTTAAACTTTGAGTAGACTAAAATATAAATAAAAAATTGTAAAATGCTATAGATTTTCGAATCCATGACTCGTGCTTTATGCAATATTTTGTTACAAAACAGATGCCAAATTTGATGTATACATAATATTACTGGTGAACTTTGTTCTCCTTAAAATATTTATCATATTAAATATAGAATATTTATACCGGATATGCTTGTTTAGTATAAATTATACAGTTTATTTGTGTTATTATTTATTTATTAGCTTTCATCCGTAAACTGTTTTCTCTTCGATTTTATTACATTTTAACAAAATAAAATTGAAATAACACGTGCAATTTTGTAAAACAGAAAATTAGAAATACACAACGTTCAACATTAAACATCGAAACCTGCGTGCTGAATAAATGTTTAAATTGTTTAAACGTCGGTGGTATAATATTATTTGGAAAATGGTTTTTGATGATAGAGACCAAAGGGAATGTTTTAAAGCTATACACTAAGCACTTATAAGTTATATATATATATATATGAGAGAAGAACAGTAAAAATAGAATTCGTATTATTTTTAAAAACAACTGATCGACGTTCACAAATCAAAAAAATTGATCTGATTTAAATAAAATATTACAAATTTATAATTGTGATTTGTTTTTCACGTTTAAAATATAAATAAGTACCTACATACTGTAGTTTATACTATATACGTAAGACATTTATATTCAAAAAGTATTAATATTTTTGAAAACATTTTTATCCTTATAATTTTTTAATTACAACATTGAGTTTTAATTTCATCACCAAAAGCAGAATATCTTTTTGAGTACCTATTTCAGTACATAAAAATCGAATTTAAAATGAGTAGTTTATGAGTTATAAGTAGTTAAACCAAGTAAAGATGAGTGGAGTAATGGAGTAACATTTGCGGGGTAACCACGTCCCTCTCCATAATTCACATCTAAACATTAAATACTTATGAATCTTAAGCTACTCGTTTTAAATTCAATTTATATGTATCGAAATACTTTAAAAAAATACTCTACTTTTGAATATGAAATTAAAACTGTATATTACTGATAAAAAAGTAAAAACTTTAAAATATTAAGGATGAATATAATATTTTATAAATGTTGTTTTTAAAACTATGCAAGTAATTTTATCAAAAAAAATTTATACTTTTTAAAATAAAGATAAAATAATCACCCGGTACATATAATATATATTGATTTAATCGTATTTTATAATATTCTATATTATTGATTATTCTACTCATGTAATTATATAATATTGATAACCTGATAATTTTAATAAGGAGGTAAGATGTTTCGTGCAGAATAAAAAAATAATTAATCTTATAACAAAACAAAGAACTAGAGATTGTCAATGAGATTAATTAAAAGCATCTTTGAAAATAGAACGATTTGAAATGTTTAACTACGTTACCACGTCTTGACTTTAAAGTATCAAATGGTCTATTAAATTGTCATTTTTTCCTGAATACTTTTGATCGAACATCATTCAATTTATTCTAAGCTAAATATATCTAATAACTATCATGACGTGTATTAAATAAACTCTTTCCAAATCGTGTGTCATTTTTAATTAGACATTTTTACATTAAGCATATTATAATATACATTATTTATAGTACGTTTAATGGCATCCGGCATGTAAAACATTTAATAACAATAATAATTAATTTCAAAACAAACCTTGTAATGTTCAGAACAATGTATAGTAGTTTTAATGATCATAATAATATTAAGTGATGTATACTAACATATTATACACATGAATCCATGAAACAAATCAAACTCTGTAATAGTCTGTATACAGAGCAATTAAATGTGAGCTAAGCCAATATTCAGTTAATCTAAATAATTAAGCAATTTATTCAACTGATATGTTATGAAGTACTATTATGTTTGACGATCCATATTTTTCTTTAATATCTATTATATTTCTAACATATTTTATGAAATGTCAGCTCACACAATATCGATTCACGACAATATTCTTTAGTGGGATAACAGAAAATGAAAATACAAACGAACATTTTAAAACATCTAAATCCGTATACTTTTGTGTTTTGTGTTCTTTGCCCGTTTCTGTTATCTCTGCCCCCAAACCCATAAAACTCTTCCATGCAAAAAAAAAAAAGAAAAAATATAATAATAGTATACTTCGACATTCATAGCGAAACTTTAAACAAAGAAAGAAAACAAATTTCAAAAATATCTTGGCAGATAAAAGGCCCATAAAGATTACACGGTTTGGGCGAAGTTTAAAATCAGCGATCCCACAGTATTCTAAATAAGATTGTCGTTTTCGGGAAACTGGCTGGTGACCACAAATCGTACACACAAAAAGTCCTGCGAATATTATTGTTATACATATATTATATATAATTTTTTTTTGTATACCGTTTCCCTTATAAATCAAGTATTTATGTAGGTAGGTAAACATTTTTGTTTGCCAGGGCCTGTGAAATTACTAAACGTAAAAGTACCGAAAATAGAAGTCAATGTATACCTATTATGGTAGTAAAAAATGAACTATAGAAATAATAATAGTCCAGTTCTACCACGTTTGGTAGTATTAAGTCGAATGGTCGTATAATATATTATATTATATACCTACGTAGGTACTATAGCTTTTTGATTGCCTCGCTTTTCGTCGGCTCAAAGTAAAATTAAAGCTACTCGAGGGCACTGTTCCACGTCGAAATTCGGAATATTCAAAAACAAAATTCCTCTTAGGTACTCGTTCGTGTTTCGGTAACAAAACTACACGGTTGGGACCCTTTACCGTATCAGTCTCGTAGACCGCCAAAACGCTAAAACGTCTGCAAGGTACTCACCTCCTTCATTTTTAATACGAAATGTAAAAAACATAACTATAAAATATATATTTATGTACCAAACAAATAACACTCATCGCACATATCAATGCATAATATTATGAAAACAATTTCCAAGCAATTGAAATGCTAATTGGTGTTTGTTAATACGATGTTGCGATACATAATACTTAAAATAGTAATTGCAGGTAGATGGATTGTATTGTCTGAATAACGAGATAATCGATTAAAAACCAATTACTTGAATTACTTGATAATTGTTGCCTTTTTTACTAGATATAGGAACAACGTTTAGCGTCTAAATTCTCCGAAATATTAATTTTCATACTAAGATAAGAAAAACTAAATTATTTCACAACATGTCACGAATATTAAAGTGTCTAAAGTATTTCTGTGTATAAAATAATTCAACCTATTCATATACTTTGAATTATGATTCTCTTAATATGTATTATCCTAACTGAATAATTAGAAATTTGAATTTTGTTATTACTTGGGCATTTAATAATTTTCATAATATAATTAATAAAATATTTTTTAGTTTGTGGGAATTTTAAATGGGTGTGATTATAATATTATGTAAAAAATGTATTAATCCTACAATAATATTATACATCAGTTCCAATTAAAAAATTTTGTGTAATCGCGTTATGGTTTTATTTGAAACGTGCGGCCTAACACTTGATTAATGAAACTAATTATGAACTTCTTTAAAGTTTGCATAGAATATATTATTATTTTATTGATGGCGTGTTTTCTACTATTTTTTAATGAACGTTTAAGTTAAAATAATAATATCACACTATTAATGAATGTTTGGTACATAATGTTGTCACTAAGATTTAAGCCTTGATTGTAATTAAATCATTTAACTATTATATCAATAGTTACAGGAACGAGATTCACTCTTCCATCTTGGCGTATCGTTTACCTATTTATTTACCAATTTACAAGGTAAACACAATGTAATATATAAATAATAATACAAACAGTGCCTAGCAGAGGACCGCTGGAAAGAAAATTACCTTTACAAAGGCATGATAATGGCCGTCAATTTGTGTAACACGAGAGCAGAACTCAATGTAATCATAATACTCTAATACACGCTTTTCTAGGTTTGAATTCTAATACAAACGTACAAAGCGTTTACATCCGGTTCAATTTCGAACACGGACAATCCTATTTAATTCGTACAAAGACATGGGTATTGCGAATTATGCTTATTTTAAATTCAACTATCATGCACCTATAGTATATTATTATATTGCGCAAAAGGAATTTCAGAACGATTCCCGGTACTTAGCATACTAAATACAACGAGCGATTTACATTTTGTATTCTAATGGGAACGAAAAAACCTGCCGTTCTGTTTACACTTTCAAATTGTGGCAAAAATAAAATTTATATACCTATACCGTCTCGTCTGTACCACGCGTCACTGCACGTTGTGTATTATAGTAAAATGGTTGTTACGACTCAATGGGTAGGTACGTATTTTGTTCGTTAATCATTATATTATACAGTGTTACATATTATTATACTTATTAGAAGTTGCCCACGAGATTTAGATAAAAATTCGTGCTTAAACTCAAGTATATTTCAAATCGCATGTTGTATTTTTTTTTTTTGTTCAATTCTTTGTCTCTTTTTTTGCGGTAAAATTGCACCGCAGTTTTTTATACTGACCTACCAGTAGTAGATATGTATAATATCGATTGCGATTGGATAAATCGTGCGATTCACAATAGACAATTACTATTATATTATCCTCTTTCAGATTAAAAGGAAAAAAAATACTTACCGATAATCTAATTTCACAGTCCACAAAATTCCTCTATTGTTGTATATTAACGATAAAAATGTACAGTTGGTACACACAGTGTATATCTTTTTCATTTTTCTTTAATCGGATTGCCAATCTGTTTTATATCATATAGAGGGGAAAACGACGTATAAAACCATAGACATGTACAGCGTTTGGTTGATGAAAGTGTATATACGTACAATACAGTTATATAATAACAATATATTGGATAACAAAAGTGTAACGAAAAAAATAATAAAAAATAAAAATATGGAATGCGCTTTGCGGTGGTGCGTTTTGTTTCTTGCGATGGGAAAAAAATGAATTTATCATTGTTAAGATCCACCATATAATGGCTAAAATATACTCGTCGTATTTTCGGAATAAGACGATTCGGCAAAGGCAGCGCGACTGGAGTGGAATAGTGAAAGAGACACGTCGAATCGAGTCATTTATATTGCAGAAAGTACACGGGCTCAACGAGGACCTTGTCAATTATTGTTGGCACAATATTGGGACTATAAATCAAACGAAAGGCTTAGCAAACTCGCCGTTTAAAATGAAAACCATGCCAAATCCGTTCCATTCTTTTTTCCCCTCTTTATTCCGCAGGAGTATAAGTGCAAATGCTGTTTTATCATAGTTGTTTGCTGCCGATAGACAACAACATCAACAACATCAACAACAACACATCAACAACCATTTACACCCACCTCCGAACGAAACGATACACCAATAATTATCGATTACGTATTTATGTATTTATGTACTTGTCGAAAGTATATCCCAAGAACACAACAGCCTTAGGTACGTAAGAGATGCAATTTTTACGTAATATATTAATATCTAAATTAGGTTAGGTTATGATTAATCGCAATCGGCGAATTTAAAATACCACTCAGGCACCTGTGAATAAATCACAAAAAATTATTTCTCAATCGTGGTGATAATCTATCACTATTAAAACGAGTACCATTCGGGATTTCAGTTACCGTGGAACCTATGATATAATATTATGGTGTCAATATGACAATATGTAACATTATAATATAAAATATTATATTTTTACTGAATTCAAAATCAGGAAATGCAAGACGAAAGTGCACACAAAGCACTAACTACGGCGGGGCGCCATCATGGTTGTTTTAAATTGGAAACAAAAAATACGGTCACCAGCCTCGAATAGCGACGGTTGCTCATAAAGATTATTATTACGTCGCGTCTTTCGACTCAGATCGTCGAGGTTACCTTGGTGTAACGATAATATTTCGATGACGAAGTGGTTAAGGATAGCCGTACCTATCCTGCGGCAAGAGGCGTTCGCGCCGGCTCTGATTTCCTCGTCCTCGTCCGACTTGCCGACGTAGGTCTTAAAAACGTTAAAAGAGAGCAGTCGTCTCGAGCTATTAACAACACTCGAACGAGCCTGTGCCGGTGGACCCTTTGAATTATATGTCGCGCACGGAAAGCGCCGGCGATCCCTTTTTTCCGCAACATCAACAATTATTACCTACCTCCGTTTCCGGACTTAACTCGGCATTTAGTGAGGAGTTGTTGTACTCCGTGAGCTGTTAAGTGCTCTGCGGCGCGGAACCCGGCACGGACGTACGGGTGACGTGCGGTGACTGCGGTGTAACAGCCATCACATCACATGTTTTCGTGGTTAAGTGCTATTTGTTTTTTCAACACTTGTACTCTCTTTCGACGCGACCGTTTGCAGAACGGAATACAAACAACATCGGATACCCGGCCATAGTGAGCGGTGCTTGGATTTATTCGGCGAGCCACTTTAGATGTCCGATTTAAACATAATATAATGTATAGTGATAGTAGTAATAATATTTAAAATACTCGCGATAACACCGCGTGCCCCCGAAAACTGGTTACACTCTATCTCTCAGTTACCGACTACGCGTTACTCAGTAACCTATACGTAATTTAGAATTCCGTCTGCCAGAGATTGCAGATGATCCGACAGCCTAGTTTCATGTGCCCTAAATATCCATATAGGGTCCTGAGTAATGTGCTGGTAATTTAACTGTACAGTGTACCCTGTTTTCACGGACACACGCGGCAGGTGTATAGTTATCGCGTGTAAATACTTCCGTCCTCGTCGTCCGAATAGTCAATTCGTCTTCTCTTCGATAAATGGACTGTAAAAAAAATAGCACCAACACACCAAATAGTTTTAAATAGTATCAACACAAATAATATTATTCGATAATACACACATATAGATACGATTTCATATTGATAATGCTTATTGATATTATAACCGATACTCTATTATTAATATTATTATTATTATTATTATTATTATTACTATTATATCCGATTGGATGAACATATGAAAGAGTAAGATGACGTCTTACGAACGGAAAGCCTATAGCACGTTCGTGTAAACTATATTTTATTATTATTATTTAATAATTATTCTCTAAGCATGATATTGGTGTTTTATTATTATTATAGACATGTTATAGTATTCAAACCCACTGGCAAGTTCAAATCATCGTTGCACACTCGTGTTATTCGAATGCGATTGAATTATTATAGTTCTCGAAATGATTAATCTTCGTGGGTACCGTTTTATTTGTAACCGCACTTAAAATATTTTACAAACGGACGCGGTTTTCGTTTTTGATGTCTTATTATTATTATTATTCTCATGTCTGAATCGTAAAATTGTTCCACTCTCCGTCCGTATAGTTGCGATGCACTCCAATGATCAATAAAGCCCAAAGTCGGCCTCTGCTCGTGTGAGGTACGCCAAGTTTCAGGTCACGTAATATCTGATAAGAAACAACCCCCCCGAACGTAACACTTCAGCCTGCCCATTTGTCGGATTCTACATGGGAATCGTTAAAATCCTGTGGAGCCCACAGTAACCATAAAACGCCCAGCTACCGTGTAAATTAATTTCTCATTTTCCAGCTCCGAGGCATAGAGCTTGCCGCCAACCATAATATAAAACTTATGTGTTTTTATTTTTTTTTATTGCAGCCAGACGATGACAAGGAACCAGAAAATCCCGAAGACCTGGCTAACGGCGGTTACTCTGACAGACCACCTGCTCCACCGCCACCACCTCCATCAAACGGTATTTTTTATTTTTTATTACCTATAAGTTTTATTAGTTTTATTTTTCAGAACCGACAATACCATTAAACACCTATTAATGTTGAATTCAAAATAAAATGTTCATGTAATATTAACGGCTTACGTGCAGTGTGGTACGGCGTGCACAATACACACAATAGTATATTAATATAGATACATAGATATTATATTATAATTATCGATGTGTAATTATCTTGAACAAAATAAATTATACCAAATCCAAGTTACATTTAAATAGGTTTTTATTTTTTGCATTCAGATACAACAACAATTCTGAGTTCAATACTGACAAAATGTTTCTTCTTAGAATATATAATATGTTCAATAAATTAAACATCCATCGATTAATCTAAAAGTTTCAAAGTCCACACTACTTTATTTCAAAGGAATTTATACTAAAATATTATAGTGATGGTGAAATAAAATGCCAAATATCGGATGAAGTCCGAGAAAATACAAGACTAACAAAAATTATCCTAATTGAAATTATTTACAATAATTTCATAAATAATATATTTTATTTTAATATATATACAATATTATTATTAGTTAATAATACAATTATACAACATGCAATGTTTTTTTAAACGTTCAGATAATTTTGTCTATGTATAAAGCAGTTTTCCTTCTTAATCTCACAGTGATTTGTATACGAAATCAAAAATAAATTTATAATAATATATTCAAACAAATATATGTATGACGCTAAGTTGTAGACAATATTATAACTATCTCCTTCTCGGAGTACTGCATCCACTGCATAGTGCACATAATATATTATTGTAAAAACAGAAGCTAAAATTAGCTAATCACTTGAAATCTTGGTTTATAATATTTAAGATGATCAAAATGATATCACATTTCTGAACGTATTTTATAACGATTTGATTAACAGCGGTTGGATTAGTGATGGAAGGGAAAATGTATATTATACATAATATCACTATAATACTAACTTCGCCCTTTCATATCGACACTAACCATATTATTACGCGTATGTCAGCTTGCAGGCCCTCACAAACATATTTACATTTAAACATTGCCAAAAACCTAAAAGTTTTTTCGAACGCATACATCAATAATAAGTTAACATAATATTATGGTAACACTTTGTAGTTCAAGCGCCTACGTACTTTTACCTACCAACATACTCTAATTAATAACATGCACACATTGAGAATATTGTGAATAAAATTTGGAAATGAAAAACTATGAAAACGAATTCAATTTCAAAATTCATTGATATTGTTTAATATTTTTTACTACTGTACGAATTTAAGTAGCTAATGGGTAAACTAGGATATGATATTATCATGTTATAAATCTATAGTTAATACACGCGACCAACACTAGTAATGCGTTATTTACATGCCTATTACAGTCTGCGTATTTCGTGCAAACACATAACAATATTCATTATTAGCCTTTCATTTTTCAATATAATATTATAATACAATACAATTATTATACAGATATGAATCATTGCATTGCATAACTGATTAAAGTAGGTGTATAAAAACATGTGCTATATTATATTGTATATTATAATTTATTAACCGTCGGTTCTTTTGTAAAAACCTATTTATTTAAACATGAAAAAAACATTACAGGATCAAAATGTTTTATTCTAAAAAATATTACACAATAAATCCTAATATTTCAAACGGTTTTGTAACTGTAATAATAATAATATTAAATTGGCTTTTGCATAAAATTCAGTTTAGTATCCCTAAACTACGCCTAGTTACTTTTGAACTGGCCTAGGTATATACGTCTTTATCAACAACATAATTGAAAACATTAGAATTTAGTATGGTCATTATTAAGCGCGTGTGTACTCGACAAGGCAAAAATATTATCTTTCTGGAAAAATAAATTAAAATATAATCTCTATACGTAATATATAAAGCAGGAATCGAGTATAAAGCAATATTGTTTTCAGCTAACAATTTAATAATGATAATAATACGAGTACCTATGCCCCGTCAGACGAATACTTTTTCACTAGAACATCCACGGTTAAAATTAAACAACGGTTAAAAATCGATTTAACGTATTTAAAGTAAATATAGTAAAGTCAAATTTTACTAATTTTACTACTACATTCTTTCTGCGAATACTTTTTTAATTACAATTTTTTTTTTTGTCGTATGTCAAAGTCTACATTTTAATTAAACATTAAACCAAATGTTCAATACTCAGTATTACATCCTATAATATTGCAGTTTGCAAATATGCATGTTATTTTAACCAAATAATTCAGACTGTTTGTACATCGTAGGTAAACAATCATTTTTTTTTTATATATAACATAAATAGCTAGTTTAGTTTCATTTATTTCATATAGGTATTAGGTATAAGTACCTACTTGCATTTAAATTAAAAATGATTTAAAAAAAACGATTCTCATAAATTTTCTATCATAAGTAGATATTGATTTTATATTTATGCGAATTTGAATATTGTTTTTTTTTTTATTATTATTTATTTGCACTAATTTCCAAACCGATATTAAAATTATTTTAGTGGCAACTTTATATGCAATAAAAAACAGCCTATAGCTAGTTATAAATATTGTGGAAAAAAAATAATATCAATGGTCAAAGATCTGAATTTCTCATCTTAACACTTTATAATATGTGCCATAGAAAATTAAATAAAATATAGAATATAGATGCTCCAGAGCATATCGGGAAATCAGTGTATAACCTAACCTATGTAAATTTATTTCAAGATCAAGCGAAAATATGAAAGTAAAAAATGAAAACAAATAAAATAAAATTATAACTTTTTTTTTTTATTAGATGACCCGCGGCAACATAGGCCATTGGGTGGGGGTGGAATGGTGAGTTGTTGTAATTGGAAGGTTTGGATACGTTGTGTGATGTTGTGGTAGAATTTCTAGTGGGGTGTCTGTAGGTTTTTGCCATGCCCAGAGTGTGGGATGGCGGCACTTGTTTTTCGGACACCACGTGACTTTCCCGAAGAAAAATACCTTCCAGTGGCCGAGAATCGAACCGGCGATGGCTGCGCCGCAACCGAAACCTTAGACCGTTCGGCCACCTCATCCCCCACTTTCTTTTTTGTATGTTGACAAAACATTATATATGCAGTGAAAATCATAAACCATGTCAAATGATCAATCAGAATTAATATTCAATTGACATTAAAATCCACACTCTTGTGGTTACCATGTACTATAATGTTTAATTTTGAATTATGTTAGTTGAGCATAACTATTACGAGATTTGCGGGGTACAAATTTATAGGTTCCATTCAATATCTGGCCTGCAGAGTCACGTCGCCTAAAATTATTTTTGAAACATCAAACACATTTCTTTTCTTTATGCCCGGCGGGTAATGGTCTTATATTTTTAACCAAACAGTGTTTTTAGGGGTTCTCATAAAACGAGACAACTTACTTTTATCGTTTGTCATCGTGCATGGTTGTGGCAGTGCAACAAACACTTACCATTAATCATTACCTATTTTTGATAGCACGCCATCTACGCATTGTTTGCCTTTAAACTGTAGAGACTTGCCCGGGGGAGGGGGGGGGCAATAACTTGTAAACAGGCTTGTTTTATCTGCTCGCAGTTGAAGGTGCGAGCGAGTATATTATTATGATCGCCATTCGTCAGTGTATAATATTATTATCCTTGTCTCGAGTCTGACCAGCCGAGACTTGACCAATTGGCACAAACGCCGTTTGGAACACTCGTTTCTTTCCCACTTGTCCCGTAGAGGAAAACCATATTAATATATTATTGTTATGTCACGTGGTGCCAGCTATAAAACGCTGAACTCGCAACAAACATCATTCAAAAGTGTGTTCTTCGTCGGATAATCTAACAGACATGTAGTCACTGTCTAGTCGGCCGTTCTCGTGTTTGTGAGACGGGTCCATTAGTAGGGATCAGTGGTGTATTGGAGGGTATAAGTGGGTATACGTCGTACACCCGGATCCTTATTTTTGGATTTATGCTTATACCTTTAAAAAAATTAGTCTTTTATGGGTATACGCACTCTTCCAATTTATGACAGACAATTTAGTCGTATTATCACCAAACAAAAGTTAAAAACAATAATAATAATAAACAAATTAATACAATTAAATTTTATTATGACATTAAGTATACACGACTGTCCAAAAATATCCCCGTACCCGCATGAAGTTCGATTAAATTTTACCCGACTTCGGGTTCTTGCGAAGACTATCGGAAACTGCCGTTAAAATGATTTATAATAGTATTTAAATTTTTATATGTTATAAACATAGATTAATAGATAATATAGATAGACTAACACTGTATATTATTTAAAGTTGTTTATTATTTTATTAGTATAGTCCATTATTTTACTGTACAATTTTTTTTTTTAATTTGATAATAAAAAGTTGTATTCTTTATGATATTTATGAATTGAATTAATTAAAAAAATAATACGTTAGATACTAATACTTGGTACATATTACACACAGTGGCGTATATAGGAATTAATTTCGGGGTGGAGGATGAATATAGATTGAACTATGGTTTAAATATACAAGGTTATTGCACATAGCCCATATTGTTATCAAACAAAAATAAAATGGCAGCGTAAGGGTACGATCCATATCATGCATATAATTCCTTAACGTGATAAAATGATATAGGGGGGGGGGGGGTACTATTGCAATAAAATTGTATATTTAAGCAATGGGGTGAACCCCCCCTATATACGCCACTGCATATACATTTACACATGAAAGGTTAGTGTTTGTAATAAAGTAATAAAAGATTATTGAATATTAAGTGTAATGATTTTTCAAGAGGAGCAAGAATTTTTTTTAAATAATTTATATATAGATATATTTAACTATTTTTAGGTGCGTATACACATAGGTACATTTATTTACCAATACACCACTGGTGGGGATATAATAATTTATCCGATCTATGCGGCTCTCGAACCATCTCGATTGCCATAATGCGTTTTCGGTGTATCCTTGTCTTGATCGTCTTATTCACTTTGAATAATGCTATTTTGATATTATTGCACTACACGGTTGATGATTCATATAAATACAATTTTGATAAAATATCCCGATACTAAAATATTGACCTAACGAGTATATTATTATAGATTTTTTAACCATTATAATTATTACTAACTTACCACCCAACCAGAAGGATGATTTCTTAATCGTAATTTTTCTGTTATTTTTTTTTTACAATAATTTTTATGTTAGAGTAGGTAATGAATAATATTAATCATGATTTCTCAATGATATCCCATTCGTATCGAGTGCTATCTGTGTTCAGTTTTCGGTATTTGGAGGTGGTGCACAATGTCATAAAATCCAAACATCATCATTGGTACAGATAAACACGATACCGTCGCTGAGAAAATCAATAACTACTTTCCTCTGCAGTGAAAATAAATACGTTAGGCATCTATAATAAGAGGAACAAACGTAAATGTTGTCATTAAAAAATTGATTTTATATCATAAAATCAGTGTCATTAATCAATGTGTTTATGACATGATATTAATATTAATGCACCAAAAATCATTAACTTGGATGGCCCAAACATATATTATTATAATAATATGCTCAATATTAAAAGTATGATGCATAAAACCATACTTTTTTCTATTTATCACCCCATCCCCTCCACATCCCAAATTTGAAATAATAATTGTTATGCGTGTACACCCTTAACATTATTTGAGTGAGTATATATTATACATTTTTCTATTTTATGACTCAGGTTATAGTTGAATATAATATTGTACCTAAGTTGTCATTATACTATATTATAGATGTAATACTGAGTTATGATTTTAGGTAATTAAACTTATGCAGTTTGATAATCGACACAATAATGTTATGTTCATAAGAATTATTATTGAACTTATCTTCACACCCTCCAACAAGAGTATAATTAGTGTTTTGTCATGTACCTACTACCTATATAATATCATTATTTATTTTAACAACGGAGGACACCACAAAGTTTATATTACAAACAATTAAGGCTAGCACACACTATACGAGCGTGCTAATAACTTGCTGGCACTATATATACGTGATTTATGAGTATAGATACAATCAATAATTAATGTTACGTTGCCTAATTAAATTCAATGTTCAAATTAATATTTCTAAGTAACAAGTGATAAATCCAGACTACTACACACAATAATTATGGAACAGCATAATTATTAATTATGTCGTTTATGATTTTCCAAAAACGCATTTCAAAAATATTAACCTACTAGTAACTAAAAAGTTATTGATTGTCACAACCTAAGCGAGGCATCGTGTATAAATTAATAATGCAAATACTAAATAATTATTTTGTGAAATAATTTAATAGGTAATGCAATTTAAAGCTTTTTTAATGTAATTACCACATAAAAACAAATTGTTTAATTCAACTACGGTATATAAATCATTTTATATTTCAGTTACTGATACTTCAAAAACTGCATAATATAACTTAATGGTATAGAATATCAGCTGTGTTTTGTAAATTGATGGTTAATCGCAATTTACAAATTTTTAAAATTGTTTTTAAGTAGGTACCTAACCAAAATAATATTAAAATTAAATTATTGTTCATAATTATTAATAGAGTGCAATAATTATAAAATGTCTAAACTATTTAAAATATTTTACTGATCTTAAAATGCTTTGGACACACATCAAATAAGTATTAGTATTTAAGAATTATAACACGCACATTTAAGACGAAATCATTAACGAAAATTAATTGAAACCTTTAACAATATTGAGAGAATGTTGTTTAACGTCTAATTAAACCAGATAAAAAAGGCCACGAAACATAAAACGACTATAACGATTAAACTACTACAATATCAAGATAAATTACTTTTGTGATGTTGTTAGTCGCTTTAAGCATGTAGTGTTTGCGACCGGCAGGTTCTGATTAGTTCCCATATGGTGCTTCAGTGCTCATCGCTCTGGGCATTTCTATAATATTTACTCAAAGGCACCGTACTATTTTACATTTTTTTTTCACCATTCGATCAAACCAGAATATCGTAAATTGGGATCGACTATACAATTCTATACAAAGCAGTTTTAGATCAAGGTATTCCACACCCACAGCCCATACCTAAGTTTGTACGTCATTGTTAAGTCAATGCATCGTTACGTTTTCGATAACTTCATAGGTACACGATTTACCAATTCACTTCACTCTATACGGACTTTCAAAGGCACCTAAATGTTCCAAAGCATTTAGATTTCATTTTTTAATACCATTGGTCAACTTTTAGACAGTTTCATAATATTGTATACTTTATCCGATTATAACTTTATCGAGATTTTTACTTATATAATATTTGACGATTCCACGTCGATATTTGTTATCACTATCTCTCACATAATGTATTCTACTTAAATATTTATTACTCTCCTTAAAAAAACTAAAGCGATATTATTTTTTTATTAGTTTATTTTTTTTAAGCTGGTTACTTAATACTTGAGATTAGGTTAGTCTTTAAACAACCAACTCGATTTATACTGGAAGGTTTTAAATGTTGAAAGACATTTTTTTCAGTTTTTTCTATTTAATTTCCACCAATTTGTATGGTTTAATTGGCTTAAAGTTTAAATTATACAGATAATTAAAAATAACCTACCTAATGAAAACAAAATGTTTAAATTTCAGAGATCTTTCAAAATTACCTCTATCGATGGCGAAATTCTATATAATTATACATAGTGACATAGTGATATTTTATATATTATACTTAACCTGTAATATGTATAATAATATAAAGCTAAATTATAAAAGGGTTAATTATTTTCCTTACTCCGATCATCATCGATGGTGTCAAACTGATTCGGTTCAAAAAAAAAATGTAAAAACACGGCGTTTTTTTATTTGAATTCAACATAATATTATTTCATCGTGACCGCTGACAATGCGTTGTGAGCCGTGGTGATCCAATAATACTCACCCGAAAAACAAACTTTTAACGATTTTTAAAACAATACTCTACCAATAATGACGGAATGCTTGTGAATAAAACTGCATCCGAAATGCAGTTGACAACCAATGTTCGTTTGACTCATCGTTAGTGGTCATCAGTGATGGTGTACCTACCTATTTATACCCACCTAAAACCTAATATATTGTTTATGTTACAGAAAACCATGGCTATCAGACGCCCAACATCAAAGGGGATAAAGGCGATGCCGGTCAAAAGGTGAGTTTCACATTAATCTAATTTTTTCGATTGTTATTATTACGAATCGGTCCGGCGAACACTGCGATGGTTGTGTGCCCGCTCACTGACCTAATGGACCATTAGAGCTACACGCTTAACAACCACCTCCTCGTTAGTGACTCGCCGACGTTAGCCACCGAACTGTAATAATGACAACAATAATAATTGACTGATAAATGCGGATTGTGCACCACGACCACTGTCTAAATTTGTTCGAAATCGACAGGGAGAGTCGATCAGAGGACCGCCCGGACCACCAGGACCTCCGGGCTCGCCGTTTTCCGGGGACTTTGCCACCGATGAAGAAGTGAGTGTTGTATAAATTATGGTTGTTGATTTTTGGCCAAACGGTCTCGTTCCGTTTCTATTTATTTATTATGATTTTTTATTTTGATAAAAATCCACTACTTATAATAATATAGTATACTTACTATAGGTATTTTTTACCAATAATAATTATTGCTACGTAATCAAAATCTGCTCTGCAATACATCGTTGCTATTGTTGTTGTTATTGTTGTAATCAGCAAATGCCAATCAAATTGTGCACGTTTATTTAATTTAAACTTAGATAGTGTAGCTAGGAACATTTTGCTAATGCAACGCGACCGGCAGCTTGTTTCAGTTTAAACTTTTGGAGAAATTCACATCCTAAATTGATCCTGTCTATTACAGTATATGCAAAATGTAAATGAGGAATATAAAGTAATTAAACGCACTATTCGTGGAAAAAAAACGCTATTGGCTTACATCGGTATTAAAATAATATGTGATGAATATAAATTGATTTAAAGTAACTCGACCAAATGTAGCTGCAAGTTCACCGAATTACATAGTAGCTAAATAATATTATAATAATATATAATATATATTATGTAAATAAATCACGAAAATACAAGTGACTGTGGTAGGTAGGCATAATCAATATTATAAATTTAAATAAAAAATTGTTACGACTAAAAATGGGCAAATATGAAATTATTAACAATTGACTAGAATATACCTCATTAAAGAAGTTGACAAGTAAAGTTCAAAAAGTTTTTAGTTGCACAAATACCATGAAATGAAAGTTTAAGAAACTGCTGTCTTATAATCAATGTTCGGTATACTATGTAAATAATTTTATGAAATAATGTTGAATTTCAACCCACCGGCATATACCTACATAATAACAGACATTGAACAGATACGTTAATTTTCAATATAGGTAAGACACGAGATACAATATTACACGCGTATTAGGTATAGATTAGAGTTTATAATATATTGTGATTCTTAAGACACTATTATTGAAAATAAATTGTAAATGTAATTTGATTTGATTAAAACCGCTTTCAGCAAATCAAATTGGAAATGTCGACATAATAATATTATACCCATACAACATTTTTCAATGTAACTCATATTGATTAATTATTTTTTTTTTCTTGTTTAATTGAAATATTTTTAATACATTTAATATAAATATATAATAATTCATATATATTTTTAAAAAAATATAAATATTTACAAATGTATCAAATAAATTATTTTTAAATATAAGTTGTATTATAATATATTATATTTAAGCATGCGAATGTCATGTCAACTTTTCCCAATTTCAACCCCCCAAACTCTAAAAATTTAGCTTAAATATTTTGAAATTTCAAACGTTGATTATTCTGGATTTATTCGGAATTTAAAGCAGAAATCTTAAAATGTGGACTGACCGATCCCTAATATAAATTCTAACGAATTCAGATCAGTTTTCAGAAATATTATCACATTATTAGATCATTTGATGGAACAAAATAAAAAAGCTGGAGCGGTAAGTTGTAGAGACGGTCCGCAATAGATTGATTATAAATATCTTGCACAATATATTTGTTCGAGCTCGGACGCATTTTAAAACTTCCGCGGACTATCATAGGCACCCCTAGTCGATCCTCTGATAGTACAGAATGTTCTCGAAGTCGAATGCCTCTGTGTCGTGTCCAGCGCGAGCTTGCATGCCATGGCTGCTCGCTGACAGCCGTGCCGCCTGCGTCTGTGTCTTTTCCGGGCGGTCGAAGCTGACGCACGTCGCGTCCGTTCGGCGTTTTGGGTGTCCCTCTGGACCGAGTGTACGACCGACGCGTTTCTGTTGTTAAGTCGTCGTGTCTGTACGTTACCATGACCGACGCGTTTTTGTTGTTAAGTCGTCGTGTCTGTACGTTACCGTGACCGACGCGTTTCTGTTGTTAAGTCGTCGTGTCTGTACGTTACCGTGACCGACGCGTTTTTGTTGTCAAGTCGTCGTGTCTGTACGTTACCGTGACCGACGCGTTTCTGTTGTTAAGTCGTCGTGTCTGTACGTTACCGTGACCAACGCGTTTTTGTTGTTAAGTCGTCGTCTCTGTACGTTACCGTCGGGTCTGTTATTTTGCCGTGTGCTTTGCGTGTCCCTGTGGACCACGTGTACTTCCGACGGGTCGCGTTTATTGAAAACGCCTAGATATGTGCACCCGAGATAGTCGGGAAGGATTATTTTGCCGTATTCTCGCTACCCTTGATTGTTGTGGCTGTTGATGCTATTGAAGAGCCGTCGCCGTTCTAGCATCGGACCGAAGAGTTGCCGTCGCTGACGTGTAGTTATCCTCGCCGTGCCCTGCATCGTTACGGCATTTTAGTCGTCAGGTTTTTTGGTTTATTTACATATTATATTATATTGTATTGTATAGCGACATATACCATTGCGTTATTTAATTATTAATTCTTTAAACCTATTAAGGGCTCCCGCTTTTGGTAATACTATTATTATTTGTGTATATATAGTGTGTTATTTTAATATATATATATATATTAGGTATTGCTTATTGAGCATGTAATATTGGTACTGCATTCTATATTATATATACTTGGGTAACCTTTCCCCCTCCACATCAATTCGCAAGTCGTTGCCGCAAACCGAGATATAGAAAAGGCACGGCGCAACAATATTGATAATATAATTATTTATAATACGTCGCTACGCTACGCTACGTATATGTATAATGTATATTATGCATTTATAATTATTATAATTAATATAATATATATGTAATAAGTATATAATATATATAAGTATTGAATTGTACGTAGGTAATATATTTTTTATCTTGCCTGCACCAAAATTTGGTTTTCGACCGCGGTTGAAGCGTTGGAAAGCGACCTTTTTCCGTCTAGCGGTCCGTAAAGTGGGAATGAAAATCCCCATAGTGCCGGGGAAAAAAGTGGAAATCCTCATAAGTGCTGGGCACGTATATCATGCGTATTCTATGCACAACCAGACACTGAAATCTATACCACGGTCCTTACAAAGCATAAACTTTTGGTTACATCTTATATACATATTATAATCTCCTTGCATGACGCGTAAACATTATTGTTCCATGAAATTGTTTCCGTAGAATAATCTGATTGTTGCATATTATATATCTATATAGTGCTTTATCTTTGCCGTGATTACATTTTTTTGTGTGTCGCGTTTGGTATAGACTAGGTAATAGAAAACGGATATAACGCGATAATATTTGAAACAGCCTAATAAGATGTGCATTTTATGCATTTATAATTATTATAATTTATAAATTATAACAATTTGGTGACTTTAACATCAATTTTAATGATAAGAAATGGGAAACTCTTAAAACTTTCCTTATGGACACATTCAATTTAAATATGACAAACAATCCAACAGAATCCACAATACTACAATGAGAGATGACACCACTATCGATGCAGTATTTTCAAGATATTTGGAAAAAATTACATCACAAATATACGTATCATATTTCAGTTATCATAGGCTTGTAATTTCAATTATTGTATATGATTAATATAATAGTAATTAAATAGTAATAATAATCATTTTCATTTTCATTTATTTTTCACATTTACTTTTATTTTGAATGGTTCCACTAAAATGCATTTGTAAGCTAAAATATTTGTTGGAAAAGAAACTTCGTTTCTACCGGGTGTCCCACATGATTGTAAATATAAATACTATATTATACTCTAAAAAACCAACGTAAAGCCCTTTTCATTATGTCAAGTAATCTGAGTAACTAAAATTAACTTTTTTAGAATTATTCTATAAATAAATAAAAACAATTCCACTGTAAAAATTTTATTTTTATTTTTATTCAAACTTATTTAGAGATAATTTATTTAAATGTCAATGGTTATTATATATATCTTAAATGTTAACTCAAGTAAAATTATAATGAATTACTAACAAAATACCAAAATTTGTATCAATTTTGTATTTCTTTTAGATAAAGTGAACATATTATTATATTCTTATATTAGGACCTTAAGTCCATGAACGAAACTTGCTATTTAACTGAATCTAACATATTTAATGTATATTGTAATCAATATAATCAAACAAATAAATACATGTTCTAGACAAATTAAGGAGCACATAAAGGTGGAATAAAAATTAACACAAATTAAAAAAAAATATTTAATCATAGATTAAAAATCTTACTCTTTTAGAAAATATAACACCCAATTAGATACGTATTTACTATCAGATAAAATAAATGTCATCTCTGCATAATGAACCAAATTAAGAACTACAGCAGAGTGCCAACAAACACATCAAAAATATTATGATATCGTAATTATTATAATATCCTAGAACAACTCAATTGTAATTAAAGCACAACTTGCTAGAATCTTCCAAGTTTTTAAAACTAATGAATATTCACAATGATAGTTAACATTAAACAATTATTTATGTATCTATTTATGGAATTGAATATTACATATTTTACCATAGTATTTACCATTTCCATATGCCTGTAAAAAAAAAGATAGGTAGATAATAATAAATATTTTACTGTTGTCCTAAAATCATTGATATGAATTTAAAAAAAATACTTACATCAAATAAACTTTTAATCATTATAAAAATTGTAAAGGAAAAGTTTTTTCGTTGAGATATAATATAATATGGAAAGTTAAAAACTATTAATTTTCAATGATTTGTGAATATATCAAATAATGTCATTAAAATACTATGATGTCGATTTGTCCTCTTTTGATGTTTTATCGTGTCTATACTCATTTGCCTGTAAGCGTAATTCTTTTTTTCAAATTAGATTAAACAAATGATAGAAATACGATTTGGTTTTAATTATATACTTAGTAAACAAAGTTTTTCATAAATATTTAGGTATTAGTTAAGGGTACTAAAGTCATGGCACTTTGTTCTTGATAAAATCTCAAGAGTTTTTAAGTTAATTTTAATTTACTTAAATTAAGTTTATTTATAACACAGATATATTCCTTGGATTTTAATCTGATACAGTGAGCTTATGAGAGATAATTATTAGTCAACTACCGTCTACAATCGTTCTTCAAAATATAGAACTACAATATTCCATTAAAATATTTTTATTTTAATAAAATTAGACAATGTTTTTAACTCGTTTTCAAAAGATCTTTTAATAACTTTTTAATGATCACTCAACATTTTAAAAGTCATAATATTATATTGGTTACTAACATAATATTATAATAACCGAGCTCTTATGAATGAAAAAATTCATACTTTCATACTTAAAAGTTAAACATGAATAAAACATCAAATCTACAAACAATTCCTCCACTTTTTAGATTTAATTTCCATTCTACTACTTATTTTATCTAAAAACAGTACTCCCTTAAAAAATTATACAAATAATATTATAAAATGTATGTGCGTTATAATAGTTTTTGTCGCAGTGGTCTTCTAATATTGTTACCGAGCTTGAATCTTCAGAAATAATACATTACAAAATGTTTTTAATTACAGTCTAAAAAATTGTATTATTCTATATAAAGTATTGTGTGTTACCTATTATTAGGCATTTGACAATATTTGTTTTGTTTCCGGTTGGTTTTAAATATTTTTCGGTGGAAATTTACCATCAGTTATTTTAATTTAAGGATTTAACAATGTATTTGTATTATTGTAATATATACATATATATGTATTAATTAACTATTAACTATATCTAAATATTATTTAAAATGTATTAATCTATTTTTTTTTTAATTTATAAATCGGTTTACGAAGATTTTTTTTACTTTAATCACTTTAAAACAACCATAATTCTGTGTACAATATTATATCCAAGGATTTGTCCTCGGTCCATATTATGTATAATATTGCATTTGACCGTCGCGTGATATCCACGAAATTCGAATCATAACACTGACCACATCCCACGATCTTGTACCCTCCTCATAGGCGTCTTATTTAAATTGGCAAAGTTTCGACAAGCGTTTCTCATTCTATACATCTGTGTGCTTGTGTGTGTGTGTGTGTGTGTGTGTGTGTGTGTGTGTGTGTGTGTGTGTGTGAACGCACACATGCGCGTATGCATGTATATATGTATAATATATATTTGAGGCGTTATTATCAAAGTTGACCAAAGTCGTGCCAGCGCAGCCACAAAGTGTTATGTACTAATCCGCTTTGGAATCACGTGCTGCGCAAATGTCTAATGTTGTGCAATGCTACTCGTGGTTTCCAAAAGGGTCGGATAATAATCAACAACAATAATAATAACGATGCGCGGATAATATAATTTAAAACATGTACCCTGAGCATTGTTATAATATTATACCAGCATCGACTGTATTTAATCAATGGTTATACAGTGAATATAATAATGATATAATTGATGTTGTTTTAGCTCGTCAAGTCTGGAGTATCTGGACCGAGGGGTCCGCCGGGCATATGTAGCTGTAACCTCACCACGTTATTTGCACCAGGCAACATACCGGAATTAATACAAGGACCGCCGGGCAATCCAGGCATCGATGGCAAAATGGGATTGACAGGTCTCCCGGTTGGTATACCTACACGTTTCCGGTACTAATTTCCGCCGATGTAATATTTCGCAGCATAGATAACTTAAAAAAGCGGACTTTTACATTTTTCTTTTAGTTTTTGAGTCACCTCATAATTTAATGTTAATTTAATGAAACACAATAGTTGAGAAATAAAACTGAATTCAACGTCAAATGTTGTTGACGTACCTACACTCCAATAATTCCAGGAGCTATCTAGTTGAATTCACAGCCATAATAGAATAATATCGTTGATGGTAATAACATTAACATAGTTGCTTGTTTAAATAAATAAATACAAACAATTATTAATTATTAATACGTGTATGGACACGTCTTATTGAATTTAACGTACAAGCAAAATCTACATATTATACCCTATATATAGCTTTAACCAGACTCCTTGAGCGTAACCCTTAAGTTTACTATTCGCCGCCATTTACTACAACCCACTCGATGTCTACGATGCATAGAAAAGGGATGCATATTCAAATGTAGTACTTATACCGAATAACTACTGCATCCAAGCCAACAACAAGGACCTAAATACTGTTTAATTTTTTTAATGCAACAGATTAATATAAACGGAATGAAAAAGAATAGTCTATAACGATTGTATAAATCAGAGCTGTGCAATTTCATATTTTCCAAGTTTGAGCATTTTAACAAAAGTACCTATCAATGAAATTAAATTTAAAATATAATATATTTTAAACATTTCAGTGCATATATAATAATAAGTATGAATATATGTATATTCTAAAAATTGCATAATGTATTTAAAGTTTCACTTAATGTTGGAAAATTGCTTTTTTTGACATTTTATATAGATACATTTATATACACTATACATCTGTAACGTACCTACCTACTTTTGAAACAAATGATTATGTATTGTGTATAGTTTTGCACAAGGAACGCGTGTGTTTCGAAATGCTTTTAGTTAATATAAAAGAAATCCGTACTTATCATATTTATCAACTAAAGTCGTTTGAAATATTTTCGTCGTATTGTCTTTCTCGCTTTCACCTAAAAAGTTGTATACATTTATAATTTATTTAACTATATTGGAAACAAATATTCTTTAAAAGCTTTAAAAGCTTTCAGTAAAATATAATTATAAAATGTGAATTTACTTTTTAGTTTATATCAATACTTAATAACTTAAATAAATAAAACGAAGCTTTTGAAAATTCTCAAAATTTGAATATAGTTTTTAATTGTTATTGAATTGTTTATTGTTAAAAGAATCTGACATAAAAGTTTCAAAACAAATACGTTTTAAATTATAAATGCATGAAAAACTATTAACAAATTAATTAAAATATACAAATATCTACCCAACTATAATTTACTTTTAAGCGTTCTCTAAAGAAATATAGATGGTTCCTAAAAATAAATTCATAAAATATTTTGAGGGAAAAATTTTAATTTTCAGAGAATTTCTGACTTTTAAATGTCAGAAAAAGTCTTTTTCTAAATATAATATAGAAGAAAATATGTATTATGAATCATGAATATATTACTATAATTATACCGAAATTATCATTAATAAATCACACGGCGATTATCAATAATTTTAAAGGTAGGTACCTACTAAAAGTTACAAAAAAAAAAATGGTTTTAAATATTTTTCTTTTGTATGATTTTATTATGATCTTGTCATTTTGTTTTACTTAACACAACATTGGGGCTATTTCATTCCATACACAATATTTTGGAATTTCAAAAATTATTATGTTATGTATATCACCAGATGAGCATTGGAATTTAATAGTATGCCTCACACAATGTACTTTTATTAGTAAAATATGTAACGGTAGGCATTAAGTATATAATATTATTAGGTATTAATAAAAAAATTCGGTTTGGTAAATCGCCAGTAACAGGGCTGTATTATAATAAATGTGCGTACAAGGGTTGGATACCTAGCACTATTGGGATTAAAGTCAATAAAGTGATCACTTGGGAAATCGTGAATGGTACTCTAATGTAAAATAATAATGAAATTTTGGTTTTGGTATTGCACCAGTATATAGTCGTTTGGCGGCAAAAAATGTATTAGAATAACCCGTTTAAATCCCCCAAATATATAGGTAAGGATCAGTGTAAAAGTAGCTACCGAAAAGGTCATTTTAAATACATACAATAGTATGGGCTTAAAAATAATTTATCGAATATTGACCAGTAGGTCTACTCCATAATAGTTGCAAAATAATATAATGAAACATTTAAATAAAAAAGTAATATTTTTTTTACTGTTAGAAATTCGAAATTATATTATTATCCATGTGTTTCCAATAGGTGTTACAACTTGCAATATAATTTATTGTATCTATTTAAATAATAATAAGTTTTATTTACAATGGCAAATCTATACCACCTGTATATAATATGGGGGTCATGCCATCTTCACCATCCAAAATAAAAATTCCAAATATGCCTCTGATTACCTATTTCTAACCCAAAGCAAACAATACAATTAAGTTATGAAACATTATTCAGTAGGTAATACATAAACAGATAAACTTTTCAAAAATAATAAAGTAAATATAGGTAACATATGTTTAGTTAATGATGAAATAATAATAAATTATGTAATAGGTACATGATTAATATGGAGTACCAGTACCTAACCATTAATTTTTTTCCAGGGTGCTGTAGGATTGCCAGGAGATCGAGGACTAGAAGGCATAAAAGGTAAAACAAGTATTGTTATTATTACAAACTACAATCATTTGAATAGAACTTAGAACTAAATCAACTGATTGTATTAAAAAAAAATTTAATGAACAAACGTGTGGTGTAATTATTATAAACGGCAGCTTACTATGTGCACATATTATTATACTAGAAAGGTACATGTATTATAAAGTTCAAATTTTGACAAAAATAAATAATATTAACAAAAAAATGTCAATTTTCGTTATTTTTTTGTAATCCAAAAAAAAATATATTCGTTGGAGCTTGAAACTTGCCATTACGCATAATTTTATTATAACTATTTACCAAACATAATGAAATGTTTAAAATAATATTATCTAGATAGATTTTAATCTAACTTTCCTACTAACCAAAAATTCATTATATTCTACCGTAAGTTGGTATTATTTACTTATGAGTTAATAACAGCTTGTAATTATATAATAATAATTATTATTACATAATATTCTTAGAAACATAGGCTAAGATCTCCGCTTAAAACCGTTTTTTTTATACAAATAATTTATCATTGAATTCAAATTGAACATATCCATTACTACATTGACATAATATTCATTACCTACCAGAGAAACCATACTGTTTTTGATAGATTTACGAATTCAATAGTCGATTTTGGATTTGTGGATTTTCGATCACGTTGATTAACACCATTACAAAATTATATAAATTCAAAACGAAAGTTTTATTTAAAATATAAATAAAAAAAATGGATCAACAATTGAAATAACTGTGTTTATTTTAAATTCTAAATCATTTATTTTTTATATAAATAAAAAACTTTTAAATTAATATCACAGAGTATTGTGCGCGTAAAAAACTTAAATTCAGCCAACTACAAAACAAATTTTATACCTAATTTATTTTAGGTTGTTAGACGTCGAAGAAAATAAAAACAAATTTTACTTGCCACTTCATATTTTATTAATTTTAAACTAGGTTTAATGATATAATTTGAATTAAAAGTTATTATATGTTTTATTTTATAAATATTTCAAAAAACATAAGAGTATTATTACATTTTTTACAACAAAATATATTTATTTATATTTAAACTTTTGAGATATTTATACTGTATGTAATATTAATGTATACATTACAGCATTTCAAACAAACCGTTTTTTATTATAATACCTTATTAATAATAAATATTATTGATTTATAATATTTCATAACAATATTTATTGATTACCTACCTACGTCCTACATATTTTAATAAACATAAAATACTATAATATTATTATGGTATAAGATGCCTGTTTTAAAATGACCCTCATTATTTTGAAAAGTATTAACATCCGTCGACGTTTATCGTTTGGAAAATGTATGGTACAATATTATTATCCTAAAATTACAAAATAATAATTAATACTCGTATTTGATATTTGTAATTCAGGGGACAAAGGTGATAGAGGAGATGTCGGACAACGAGGGAACGAAGGCATTCAAGGCATTAAAGGTAAATATACAAATTTAATCATGACACGAATAATAAAGTCTGCATTATTCCTATTATTTTAAAAACCAAAGCACAATAATGTTATTGATTTATAATAAGTGAATAGTTTATACTAATTTCCATTTTATTGTTACTTACAGGCGATTCTGGAATTGACGGGGAACGTGGTTTACAAGGACCTCCGGGTCCACCAGGTCCTCCTGGGGGATCAGATTTTTCAAACAATGATGTGAGTTTATGAAATTAATAACAAATATATTTAAGAACAAATGGACACTTAAATAGTAATCTCTAATTCGTCATTGTGCTAATATTATAATATTGAAAATTATAATACTGTATTTAATATTTATAGCCAAGTTGGAAACCAAGACCGATTTACAAGGTAAATTGTTGATTGTTAACGAATGAATTATAATTATTTATTTTTCGAGTAGTTGAATATGTGTACAAGACAAATTATCTTATTTTATTTTAGTACTTACTACCATAGTTTGGACTTTTAATTTAGATTTGATTTCAAATTCAATTTAAAAAAAATAAATATTATTTATATTATTTTCAGGACATTGGGTTTGAGTCAAACGTTGGGAGGCCCGGTCCCCCGGGTCCTAAAGGCGACCCGGGTGTTGACGGCGCTCCGGGCTTAAAAGGTACTTCAAAGCGTATTACTATTATGATAACCTAGAATCTCTTTAAATAAACCCCAACATGATGGTATGGAGAAAAAATTTAAATAATAGCATACATATATTTTTATTTTTATTTTAGTCATACATTAGTAATCTAATGCTTTTTATACTGACGTGCAATATCAAATTGTAATCTTATGAACAATACATTTCCGTTTTTTGTTATATGACTATTTTTAGGATTGTTTGATCACCAATAAAATGTTAACATTTTCTAATGCGCAGAGTACAATCGCGGGACAGCGGAATTACCGGGCATTTGGTGGGCTTAGCCACATCAAGACTCTGTCACAGTGGCGTCATTTGGGGGAAGACAACTGGGGCATTTGCCCCAGTCTAGTATTTACATCAACCTTAAGTCGGCACATTTACCACACGCCCCCCCCCCCGTTACCTCTATGGCACTATGCTATGAAAATCTGAGTGAAAAAAATTTTGAGTCGGAAAAGCAGTGAAAAATTGCCCTAGTTTAATAAAAACTGAAATGACGCCACTGCCCTGTCAAGCCCCTAAAAACAAATAAAAATGATTGTAATACCTAACGGTTTCCTTTATTATTCATACTGTCCAAAATGTCCATGACATATAGAATAATATTTACTTAGGAGGTAATATTGGTAAATATTTTGACTGAAAAAAATTCTTTTGAAATTCCTTGTGAACAGCAACCGATTGTCATTTTTTTAAATATAAATTATAAAAACCGGATAGGTCGCATCTGATGCATAATCCATTTGAGTTCAATAAATTCAATAAACCACTGAAAGTATACGAAAAGGTAGATCTGAGCGAAGAAGACGGAAAATTTTAATTTAAAACGCTTGTCAAATAAAATGATACACAATTTATTTATCTTTTCGATATTTTTAAATTGCTGAACAACTTCAAAAGGAGACAATGTGTCATATTTTCAAACCTTGGGCATTTCAATTGAAAATTTAATGAAGTTTTAAATAAGAAATAATGTATTAATTTGAATACGAATTCAACGTAAAAAAAAAACAACTTAATCATTTTGTAACATTATCTATGTGGATGCACAGAGAATGGAAGTCACCCTTGGCCGGGTTCGAATCGGTGACGGTCCTTGTTGGCGCTTCCACTTTATATCCACTCGGCCACTCCATTTATTTCTATAATAAATTCGATTATCCTTCCATAACAATATCTACTTATTCCCCCAAAGAAATTTATAATATTAAATATCTAAGTTATTGACTATCCTTATACAGTATTTTCAATATTCGAGCAAAGGGCGCAAACACGTTTTTAAAAAAAATAGATATATTTATCTTTATTATATACTACTTCAGAGTAATATAGTAGTATAGTAGTGAGCAGCATTCACTTAGGTATATAATTCAATAATTCAGCTTTAAAACTGTGTATAGGTGCAAAAGGAATTCAAGGCAATAAAGGCGTTCGCGGGGAGCTTGGCAGCAAAGGAGTCAAAGGCGACAAGGTGATATTTTACTCACACAGTAATTAATATATTAATATATAACATAACTTATACGTATGTGACTAATGAATGGTGGTGCATTTTAAACTATCGGGGCACTACTTTAAGGACAGCTCATCTTAAAGGAATCGAAAGTATACATTTTTCGTGACTTAATATTATGTTGGAGGAGGGCAAACTTTTTCGCCCCGAGGCGTGAAACTTTTAAATGTGCCATGGTATTGAGCTTACATACGCTGTTAAAAATAACAGAACAATAAACCCCAAGTCCCACGGTGCAAATTGACAACTGGAGAGACAGATGTGTCAGCCGTACAAAATATAAACAAAACATTCTGAAATGTGCAGTTGGACAGGTTGTGTGATTGGATTAAAAATGTAAAACCCTTCGACAGTAACAGTTATTGTGATTGTTTCAAACCACCTAAATAAGGTTATATTATTCAGTATAGGATTCACTTAACAACGGTGGATTTATGCATTCGCCACTGTAGTCGATTTATTACTTTCATCTCTTTAAATATTTAGTACGTTCATAAAAATATACCTAATATATTAATATGACATGTCATAATACTTAGTGCCTCCGCTTTTTTTTTTTTTTTGATAATAACTACAGCGTGTTCATGTTTTATTTCGACTTTTATTAAGCCGTGAATTTTAATCCGATTTAAAGCTAAGCCGGATAGTGTTAATTTTTAGACAAAAATACTGCAGGCGAGTTATCGTCAAGACCATACTTACTAGAAACTTGCTAATTGCGTCTGATTACAATTATAACAATCACAATATATACTTATATAACATTCACTATTTCAATGATATATTATTATTATGATACATAAAATATAAGGTACTCATCCGCCCCTTCCGTTCATAAGTTTAACAGTTTTAAGTATTTATTTCGAGTTTGTATGATGTTACCTTACAATGTTTGAACGTTATATACATTAGTATAATATTATATTATAAATTAAGTGTGGTAATTATAATAATATTATAATATTATAAGTTCTAATCAACTTAACTGGGTCCAAACATTTCCACTTTTAAATTATATAAAATGGGAGTTTGTATACATTTGATGAGGTCAACGTCTATATAGCTAATAAAACTATTAAAGATTAAAATTTTTTTGCTAATAGTTTATTGTTATATAATAATTAATATTACGTGTGTAATGTGGATATCCATTATCCCTACAACTGGAGCCAGGCCAATGTGTACACGCCGATTGCCGACCAATGTCCATATCGTGTGAAATATCAGGATTTTGACGATTTGAAAGACAATTGAAAATTAAAATATATTTAGTAATTTTAGTAGGTTTATTTATACGTAAAAATTTTGAATTCTAATCCAGCACAATTACCTGTCATATTATCAGTGCCGCAATTACCGGGGGGAGGGGTGGGCAGGGCGACGCCCTGCTAAAAGGGCGCTATGAGATTATATTTTAGGGCACAATTCTGTGATTGGATACCTTCTGTATTAGTCTAGATTCAATAATAATAAAAATTCTAAAAATTAAAAAAAAATATAATATGTTTATCTATTTCATATTTTGTTAACAATTTCTTATCGATTTTATAGTTGTACGACATCACGATATTTATTCTCTTATCGGTTTTATAATAAATTTTTGATTTCTCTGAATTTCGATAATATTATGTGGCCATGACGGTAATCGGAAAAAAATCCCTGTAAAAAAGTCCCACACTAGGAAAAAAAAGTCCCGAAAAAATGTATTAAAATATACTAAAATATATTAAAATTAAAGTATAAATATGTTAAAATTGTAATGAAAAATAAATCAAAGTTACATAAAAATTATATAATTTAATAAAAAATAGAAGTTAGCTTACATACCTATATACTATATAGTGCAGTATATTATATTTTAATATATATATTTAATTTTCAAGTTTCTTAATGAAGATCATATTTTTGACTTTTGCTATAATTTAGTAATTTACTTTTAAGTTTTAGTGTAATGATAATATAGTATATATCAAAATCTATATATATAAAAATGAATGTATGTCAGTGTGTCAGTGTGTCTGTGTGTCTGTGTGTCCATGTTCCCATGGTTACCAAGGTTGCCATGGTTACTAAGGTTACCAAGATTTCATATCAATCTATATATATAAAAATGAATGTATGTCAGTGTGTGTGTGTGTGTGTGTGTGTGTCCATATTACCATGGCAACCATATCTGTATATAAAAAACAGTAAGCTGATTGACTGCTATCAACGCACAGCTCAAACCATTGGACGGATCTGGCTGAAATTTTTTCTATTATAATATAGACGTGCGCTAAGAAAGGATTTGCCAAAATTCGCATTTTAAATAGGTGCTGAAACAGGGACATTGAGATTCACGATAGAAATTGGAAATTTTATTTTTATTTATTTATAGTTGCCATTGGTTACAGTCTACATTAGAGATTTTTGGCAAATCCTTTCTTAGCGCACGTCTATATTATAATAGCTATCTGTATGCCAAATTTCAGCCAGATCCGTCCAATGGTTTGACATACATTCATTTTTATATATATAGATAGTTGCCATTGGTTACAGTCTACATTAGAAATTAGCATTTATTTATTGGTTGCCATTGGTTATTCGGGCAGATCAGGTACAAGCTTGCATCAAATCGAATTATTGAACAATGCTTACCAGGGTGGCAGAGTTGCACTTACCGCAGAAAATTACACCCAAAAGGAGTTCAACAATCATAATTTTTTTAAGAGTTGCGATTTTTTACGAGCAACCAAATTTATTATATTAATCCACAGTATTACATCAAAATAAACTTGGTATAACTTTGATACTTTAGAGTTAAATCATACACTTCCGTACAAACAGCACGGGGTCCGCGATCTACCGCAGGTAGATTGCCTACCTGATAATGTACTGCTGCGATTCAGAATTTTTATTCAGAGCAACGGGAAAGATAAGATAAATTTTGAACACCATACACGTTAATGAATTGAACAAAGTTTGAGTAGGTAGTATTGAGTTGATCCATTTAACGGGCGACGAAGTGCACGGGATCAGCTAGTGTATAGATAAATATAAAAAGTTTCTTACTACAAATTATTAATCATAAATTTAAAGATAATTAGCAGAGGTAATTTTTGAAAAAAAATTTTGTTTGTTATAATAGGAATTCATTTTTGATGGTTTTTCAAATATAGTGACTTAAATATATACGAAATTACTATAGATACTTATAATTTTAACTTTGATTTGGAACATTACATAAGAACAAACGGTTTTTTGTATAATAATGGGTTTTATGTATAATACCTACCTTTAAACAGGCCTTTTTAACAGCCGTAAGTCATAACATAAGAAAAAGGTACATAAAGTAGGTAAATAATTATAATATTACATTTTTATAGCATTATTAATATAACTAAATAGGTACAATAATTGTATTTAAAATTGATTATTGTATTACATTGTATTATTTAATGGACTTCTATTAAATTAAATCATGGGACTTTTTTTCCGCGATTCAGCCATGACATTGGTGATTGTACTGTAGTGTTTTATTAATTATTACCATGGTTAAACACAGAATAGGTTTAATCTATTCTGTGGTTTAGGTATTTACAGGGGCGCATTAAGGGGGGGGGGGCAAAAGGGGCATTTGCCCCGGGCGGAAGTTTTTTGGGGGCGGTACATTTTTGTAATTTTTTTTTTTTTTGTATCTCAGAGTCAAAAAGAAAACATACAAATTGTATGACATAATGGAAAACTCGGGTTTAAGAAACAACTAATAATAATTAGAACTATCATACTAATGTACTATTAAACGTTATAAATTATGTATATAAAATTATGTCATAGTATGAGATGGGCATTTATATGCAAGCTTCAAACTAGCACCCTCAGTTTATTTCAGTATTTCACCAATCATTTATAAACCACGATGGTTTATTGGTTCGGAATTTTTCTTTTCATTACAAATATTGACAACTGTTTACGAATTCACGAATTCATTTTTTTTTTGTCCGTCATCATCTTTTAGGGCAGTAAAAGTGCTTGGATTTTCTTCAACAGTATCTTTTCTGATAGGAAAGTGAATCTAGTTGGTACTTTGGGGGGGTCAAATTGTTATAAGCATTTAAATTCCAAATATTGACAAAATACGTGAAAATGACGAAAATTTGCAAATTATTTCGAGTTAGAAATCATAAAAAATTTTCTTTTTAAATCTAAGATATGAAAATGTAATGCAAGATTCCTCATAAGTTTGTCTACCTTTATCAAAAAAAAAAAAAGTCTACAAGAATCTCAAATTAAATTTTTATGAACGTTTGAAATTCATATTTTTACAACATTTGATATTCACTCGATTTCTCGTGTAACGATTTTCTAATTTTGTTGTAATTAAAAATCGAATGACTGTAGATACTTGAAAATTTTACTAAATTTTTATATTAGCATTTCCTATACACCATATAGTTTTGAAAATATTTTGATTCTTTTTGAGCTATTTACGGACATTTTCAGTTTTCAATATTTTAATTTTTTTTTCTATTCATATCAATACAATTTTATTTGTATGGTAAAAAAGCTTGAAAATTTAATGCAAAGCTCCTGATATATTGTAACAATAACACTTGAAAAATATTAAAAATACATAGGCACAATTTTTTTAATAATTATTTAAAATTCAAATGTTGACAAAATTTATCACATTTAAAATTTAATAATAATTTTATAGTTAAAAATTTATAAAATGTTCAACTTTTATAGCTAATGATTGAAAATTTAAAACAAGATTCTACGTAAATAGGTTATATATAAATTGCTTTATTCACCTTAGTATCATCAAATATACTTAGTAATATCATAGGCTGACTAACCGTCTTCGCTCAGAATCATTTTTCTTATACAATGATGTTAGTATATCATTGAATTCAAATTTAATACCATCGATTATACAGTGACCCACTTGTACCCTACTGTACAGCAGAGCACCTTTTTTTGTTTATCAAACTTAAATAACTTTTATTTTGGTTTTGATATCGGAAATATAAAAACAAAGTTACAGAGTAAATTTTCTCATTTTAAAGTGTGAACATTTAGTTTCTTAGCTTAGAGTAGAGCCTGAATGTTTTTTATACCCGTGCAAAACAGTTTTGCCTATGTTGTACCTACGTCTGTAATACGGAGACAACACATGTGGGTGTACCTAGCGTCTTCTTTACAATCATACAGACTATTTGATACATTGCACTTTAGAAATTATTGTATACACTATACAAATTAAATCTAATGCAATGCAGAAATATTAGGATTAGGAGGTGTGAACCATAAATTATCCCAGCACCCCCTGAATTCACACCCAATGTGCGCCTATGACTGTCAATATAAAATGAGACGATTAGAAGTATTGATTGGTCAAGTATTATAAAAGAGTTTGTGAACAAAAAAATAAGAAAATATTTTAATTAGTATTGTTCCATATTTGTCATTTAAATAGTTTTATAATATGTAATAATATTTTATTGTTATTAAAGAATAAAGATATATTTATTATTATAAGTCAATGCTTAATACATAGGTACTCCATAAATAACTAAAAATATAGGAGTTGCTTACTAGGAGGTATTTATTAGTTAATGAAATATAAACATTTTACATAATAAATATTCCAATTACCAGTAGGTACTATTTCAAAAGAAAGGATTATTATTCCAAGTTCCAAATAGATATTTAGTAATTAATTTAATAAGATATCTATGTAGGTATAATAACTGTAAGAAATGTAAGGTACTAACTTAATTTTTCGAGCGCAGCGAGGAAATTTTTTTTAAGTTTTTTATACTTTCATTAATATTCATAAAATACACCAGGGGCGCAAAATAATTTTGCCCCCCATATGTGAACCCTTAATGCGCCCCTGGGTATTTAATATGAACACTGACGTAAACAAATTCGAGAAATCATCCTACGATACATCACGGTTATAGTATAATTTCGATAGGGTTGAAAGCATTTTATTACAGGAGGGTGGTAATATGATGTAGGTACTGACAATTGGGGCACTAAAACATCTGCTGCCCTGGGGCCCAAAAATCTTAGTTGGGCACTACATATTATTATATTATTTTCAATCACACTAGCATTATAAAAATTTACTAGTTACTAATCAAGTTAACTACAACAATAACAAAATTAATAATAATACGTATATACCTAATAATATGTATGACATAATAATATAATGTCAAATAAATTTAAGCCTAAAACTCAAAAGAAATAATGATAATATTTATAAAATATATTTGAACTATACAAAAATATAAAATAATTATATAATAGATTTAAAGAAGAAGAAACAAAATTGATTTTGATGAAAAAAAACGCAAAAAAATTTTGCCGAAACCAGGGATCGAACCAGGGACCTTTAGATCTTCAGTCTAACGCTCTCCCAACTGAGCTATTTCGGCAGATATATGTTTGTTGTTTTTTGTACTTATTTAAGCCAAACTTGATCTTTAAGAACATCCAACCAATGAAATATTATAATTAAACCTCCTCTAACGGACACCTATAAATATCAGACACTACTAAATAGCGAACTAACTTTAAGTGACCGAGAGTGTCCTGTATTTAGAGGTTTCACTATATATTATTGTAGATAATAAACTAGGTAGCCAGGTAGGTACCTATTTATTATATTTCATAGATTTTCTAAATTTTACCTAAATATTATTAGAACTTGATTACTAAGTTTCATCAATAACATTAGATACGAATGAGTCATTTAACGTAAGTCACTAATTATTCAAAAAAGTACTAATGTTTTTAAAAATATTTTTTTTTCAAGTCATCACGTTTGTATGATAGCAGATAAATTATATGTTTAAATGGGTATTATTTTATCCTTATAATGTCTTAATTTTTTTACTTTTTTGTATAACTTCTGAACATCATACCGTTTATATTTCATCTTCGAAAGCAGAACATTTTTGATTTTTCAAAGTATTTCGATACACAAAAATCGAATTTAGGATGAGTATATTGAGTAGCTTATGCGTTTTTATTATTAACAATATTGTATTTATAATATATTATATTAGCATCCGTAACACAATAAATTATATTTGGTTTGAAAAATAGCTATTTAATTAAATGTATTTAATCGTCACCCATTATTCAACTGCAGTTGCCTCCAAATGGTTTAAACATATAGATATTGATATATATATATTTGTTATTTACTACACATTTTTCTAAATTAGGTATAAAAAATAAAATATATTTTGTTAGACAGCTTTTTTCATGGTGTACCTAACTTCCAAAAATTAGTAATTGTGTACCCTATCTATGTCAACACATAAAATGATTCAATTTTCATTTTTATTGTAAAAAAATAATTATAACTAAGTTAAGATTTAATCGAAGTCTAAGTACAGAACTACAGAAATACTAAATCTTAATTAATTAAGACATTTTTAATCAGTGAATTATAAACTAGGTTCCTAATATAATATACATTATTATTATAGGACCCAACTTATAGTACCTACCTATATAATTAACTATAATTAATTTACAAGCGTTGTACGTTTAGCCACGATTTTTCTTTTTTAATCGTAGTATAAGTACTTTTGGGAGGTCATACATTTTCCTGTGTGCGATTTCAAAGTAGAGACGATGTGCCATGCATACGTCATTTGCAGCAGTGCTTTTAAATAACTCATGACAAAATAGGTATGACCTATATATTATAGATATTAGATTTTATATATTATGTTACTGCAGATTTTTGGTAAAATATTATTATTACAGTAAGCTTTTGTTATGTCAAAACCCAAGAGGTACAGACAAAAGTTCGAGTTTAATTATAATGGTAGTTATTTTAAGGGGATTTAAATTGAGTTTGAGATAACGAAAAATGTCTTGATATTGACGTTCGACATATTAATATAAATCTACTGTATTATATATTTTAAGAATTTCCACCAATAATAATTTGATTTTGATTATTATTTGATTGTACAGGGCCATTCTGGATCTACAGGACCACAAGGTTTTAAAGGTAAATAAATTAAAACATTTATTCCACCTCGTTATATTTTACTAATGCTTACATAATATATTCTTAAACAATAATTCCTATGTATTTAAAATATAATGTCTGTTACTGTCAACCTTAAATACGATACCTACCTAGGTGCAATTTATGTTCATAAAGTTAAATTAAGGCCTAAAGTATAGGAACATAATATAGGTAACTAATAGCTAATACTTGTTTTTATACAAAATATATAGGTACGCAATCAATAGCAAAAAGTGTGGACACTGTAATTAATAAATTATTCGAATGAAATATTCGATACACAGCTTTAAGCCTTTATTGGAAATATCTCATAATCATTAATATATTTATGACGTTTAAAATCCGTTAACCAAGTATATAAAAATATAGTTGAAAACACTCTAAGGCAGTTTTAATTTTCAATAGAGTTTCTCTTTATCCTGTCATTTTATTTTTCATTCGATTTAACTCAATAATATAATAAATACTTTTTAAACGTTTACTTTGTTATTCCATCTAGTATTCTATGTATAGGTCTCCTATATAAGATATAAGTCCTAATTAAAGCTTTTGAACAATGCCTATTGTAACCTTATCCTATACAATACCATTGTAGTAGGCATTTTTTATAAATGTAGGTATTCATTTCAAAACCCGCATTACATAATATATCGATATGTAGGTGCACTTCCAATAAATGATTAATCGAGTTTTTTTCACCGGGAAATATTTAAATACTCCATATTAAAAATCCAACATTATGGATCACATATTATTATTTATTATTATGTTCCTACCTATAATACATGTTTGTTTATCGTATACAAATTTAATCCTAATTTTAATTTATTACTCATAAGTTATTAATTTATTATAAATATTTGACTAATGTATATTGTAGGGGAACGAGGAATACGCGGATTTGACGGAACTCCAGGAATGCCCGGAGAAAATTCTCGCCCAGCGCCCAAAGGCGAAAAAGGTAAACTTTGTAAAATATGTGCACTGCGTAGGTTCAGTACATACTAAATCGTTTAGGAAAAAAAAACCGTTTAGTTTTAATAATAAATGTGCCTATTATGCATTTTACATTTTTAATGATTAGACGTACGGAAGTCATGCAATCTGCGTTCATGTGTATAATACATAAGCTCTGCGTACAGTGTATCGGCGTCTAGAATTTTATGATTTATGTTTTATCCACTAAATCCACTTATTCTACCTACTAAAAGTACTAAAGCACATATTCGTTATATTTTCCGTATTAAAAACTAAATTATCCATAACTTGAAAAAAAAAATTACCTATCTAAAATATGATGATAATAAGATATTATTGTTGTTGTAGGCGATAGTGGGACACCCGGACCACCGGGTCCACCTGGACCAGCGCAGTCTGGAGTGAAAATTGATAAAAGTAAGCATGAACAGTTAAATATCTATTATAGGTTTTATACAAATGGATTAATTGTGAATACCCTATTAATAATATTATTATAAAGCCTCGACTGCAATGACTACTTCACTCATCCAATCGATAGATATTGCTCCTTTTGTGATAACACTATTTTCGTTATCGATGAGTGCACAAAAACAATCGCTCAACAAGCATTTCTTACACTATAGTCAACGGTGAATACCTCATAAATAAAAGGCTATATATCTATTTAATACCATCTGATAAACTTTTTTTTTGGTCAAAACTTATGATAAATCTAATTAACTAAGATAAAAATGATTGGAGTTTACAAAGATATTTTAACAAACAAATTTACATTTATATATGACAATTTATGTGAGTATTAGCGTATCTATGCAGTTGACAATACAATAAAATACTTGTAGTATATTATTGTACCTACTTTTAATAACGAGTGATGTCGATGTACCAATGTGCAGTTAGTCTTTTTTTATAATGTGTGCTACCTACTACAATAATATTTACTGATAATATTTCATTAAATTAGCGGATACAGCAGTTGTAAAAACAGTCAAAGGTGATAAAGGCACAAAAGGAGATCATGGGGAAAAAGGATCCGTTGGTAATCTGGGCCCAGGAGGAAACCCTGTAAGTATAATTTATTATATATTCTTTATTTGGACTAAAATGCACACATTACAAAAATAAAAAGTAGGTACTTGATAAGTTTATTTTAGTTATTAAATCATGACAAAAATGGAAACATTTCTCCATTACATATAGAATTATACGAGCGAAGAATTGTCGAGACGTTCAATTATGAAATATAATAATTATACATGGTACCTACCTATGTGGCTATATGTACCATATAATTGTATATTATATTGTATATTATGACATTTATTAGATCAAACAATATACTTTCATATTAACTAAAATTGTGATTAAATGTTTACTATATAATATTTTTTTTAACTATTAAAATATTATACTTATTCGATTAATAGTCACTATAGTTAATAGGTCCTTCACAAATAATATGAAATACAAAAATGAATTAACCAATAAATTATTCATCGATATTAAAATTATTAACGTCTCCCAGTAAGTGAGATACCGAAGTAGTACACAAATTATAGTAATATAATATTCATAAAACAGACTGTACAATGTATACCACCTATTGTGTATCGTTATTTTTCATAATTTGATATTTGATTTAAATATAAATAAACCAAAATAATATTTCTTTTGGTGAATAAAATTATGATGGTGTATAAGTTCATAAAAATAAATATATATTAATTAATTACCTATGTTACATTGTTTTGCCTGTGGTTTTAGGGTCCACCTGGTTTGACGGGTCCCAAAGGTGAACGAGGAGAGCCCGGTTTACCAGCACCCTCGTTATCCACGACCGATCTAGGAATGAGCATCAAAGGAGACAAAGGTAGGAACGAATACATGGATTCGTTTATACTGCAATTCCGAGTTAAAAGTGGAAGCTGAGTTACCTTTAAAAAGCAGTCTATCTATGGTTTTAGTCTGATTTCAGTGCAGACATAATAGTGCTATAAAAAGGGTTGACGACTATAGGTTTATTTCCTATCTTAGTTTTTCAATAGAATAATGATTATTCTTATAGGTATAGCATTGTGTCATGCACTTGTCTATTTTTGCCAAACACATAAAAAAAGAGTGTTATAAACTGGCTACAGCATTACGAAATATTATTATTTATTATATTGCATATAATCATTACTAGTACTGATCCCAAAAAATTTTTTTTTTATTTTAACCATAACGTAGTAAAAAGCGAAATTGTATTTAATAATTATTCCTTTTGAATTTAATGTTTTAACTAAATAAGAGAACATGCTTTTAAGTAAAAGTGCATTTATAACAACATAGAGTAAAATACTTTGTGTTATTACTGACATTTCAATTATAACGTATATTTTAATATTGTGTGTATTTAGGTGAAATGGGAAGACGAGGTAGACGCGGAAAACCAGGTAAAATATACCATTAAGTTTGTGTTTAATTAACTCACAAGTTTGAAGTTCAAAAGTCTTGTAAAATAGATTTTTTTAATTATCTAAATAATTACACTATTATTGATTTATAGGTCCTACTGGTCCACCTGGTCCACCCGGAGAGATTGGCTTACCTGGTTTACGAGTAAGTGAAAAACTATTGTAGATATTCCAATATATTATTATGTATTAAACGAGATAACTAATCATATATTATGTATGTTATTAATACGCTTATCAAAAATTAAGGACGACGTAAGTTTTGTTTTTAAAATAGCACAGTATCGGCCAGTAGCTTAACTCTATATAAATTAACAAACACCAATATTATTATTTAAAAACTACTGTTTAGGGTGTAGGTACTGGTTTTCCAATTTTCTGAAATTCTATACAATTTAAAAATTATATTTTAGTTACTACCTTAATTATAACACTTTTCCACTAATCTACAGCTCTATACTTATTTAGGAGGGTTGATACAGTGTATTATATCAACGAAAATGACTTAAAAAAAACTCTCACACCCTGTAGAACAGTCTGATTTCGTTAATTTTTTTTTTGTTTGAAAGAAGAGAACATTTTTCAGTTCGGATCGAAGGCTGAATTTTTATTTTACTTAAAATATTAGTAGAAAAATACTTTAAAAAGAACAAATATTTATATATATTATTCAAGTGCATAATTTAGCTTCTATAATTATAATTTTGAAAACTGAGCTTTGATCCAAACAGCAAAATGTTCTTCTTTTAAATAAAAAAATACTCACGAAATCCAACTATTCTATAGAGCAAGATTTCCTAAAGACATGATTTTATGCTAAAAGACTCACTGGCTCCGACGCCCGTATACTGATGTAGTTTACTGAAACACGACAAACAGAAAATATTGTATTTAATATGTTTCGATTATTTACAATATTATTCAACCTGTTTTATATTAGTACATCTTAAATGACTTATACATATAAATAATATATCATGATTCCACGATTGTATGTCTTTAGGGTTCACCGGGCAAACCAGGAGGTCTTAAAGGGGACAAAGGAGATCCGGGAGTATCTGTGGTGAGTAAATTATTATTAAAATATATTTCGTATTAATACTTTCATATTTTTAAACCTTTAAAATACAATTATTGTGGTTTTAGAAAGGGGATAAAGGAGATCCGGGAAAAGACGGAATACCAGGTGCTGGAGGAACATACGTGCCTGTTCCAGGACCACCAGGCCCGCCGGTAAGTATTTATTTTTTTTTTCACTTTATTTATTCGTGTTCACGTTATCTGACAATATTAACAAATCATGTACATTTCACCAGGGAATTCCCGGTGTTGCAATCGAAGGTCAAAAAGGCGAACCTGGTGATCCAGGATTTTCTTCGTCACCACTCCGAAGTAATGATAACGGCCGAAATTTTTTTTTTTGTCTTTTAAATGTCTTTACCATCAGTATTGTTTCTATTTGCATATTATTTTTCAGGTGAAATAAACGAACCTGTCATCGTACCAGGCGCTATGACGTTCCCTAACAAGAAATCGATGATAAACGTAAATATGAAATGCATAACTAATATTATATTCATAAGACATAATAATATGCCTCAAATGCATCGCTGATAATTGTGCACGTATTGTATCGAAATAATTGAATTGTATAATTGTATTCGTATACACGATTAGGTGACGGACAGAACTCAGATGGGTACCATTGCATTCATCATCGAAGAGGAAGCCCTTTTAGTACGTGTCACGCGTGGCTGGCAGTACATTTCCGTGAGTTACATTATTAAAATATAATATAAATACATGGATTTAATCATATCGGTAACATCGGTCATTAATGTTTGTTTCGTACAGCTTGGTTCATTAGTCACAACTGGAATCGATCCGGTCCCGGCGAGCGTTCCGATTCCGACAAGAGTGCCGTTGGAATCATCGAATTTAGTACATAACCATCCAGTAAAAGATAACACAATGGTAAGGCACACGGTTTAAAAAAAAATATAATTATTTTTCAGTACATATATACTCAGCCGATTATAATATTACCATTAATAATTATTGCTTTTCCTATTTCTACATAATATTATAATATATTTTTCCGGCAAGCAAAACTATCATAGCATCTAGAGTTACACAGTATTTGAATTTTTTTTTTAAGCCTTGATTTGTTTGACACTTTCACGTGGTTTTTTGCAAGTGTCCCTTTACAAAGTCTTGTCCTGACCACGTTGATTTGACGCACTTTTTGGGTTTTATTATGAACACTTACATTTTCAAATAAAAAATTGTTTTTCCAATTAAACATTTAAACTCGAGGTTAATATTCTAATTTTAACTAGACGAAATCGGTTTTGACGAGAGGAGGTTGTGAAAAGTAGACCAATTATATTGTCTAGTTAAACTAGGTTTAACGGATTTCGGGTTATAACTGCTGTACCATCATATTACATTTATAACTCAGTGTAAAAATGTTCTATGCAAAAATACTTGTAAATATGTCGTTTTTTCTCGATGCTAATGTACTCGTGGTGTTTTGTTCTGTTTCAGTGGCATCCCAAAATGGTGAGTATATAATATTAATATTACGGGAATCTCTCGGGGGCTCGTTGCGTTTGATTACGACTATATCGACTATAACGTATAACACGATATTGTTGTGAATAATGTTATAATATTATATGTATAAGGCCGTATTAACGTGATAAAACTATATCGCTGTGGCTTATAAACTATAACGCAACAGTTATAACACAGAATATATGAAAATATATTTTCATACAGTCTGTGGTTATAATAATAATAATAATAATATCATTGTGTGATGTGTCATGGTGTATAGTTGCGAATAGCAGCGTTGAATGAGCCATACACGGGTAATATGCACGGAGTTCAGAGTGTGGACTATTCGTGTTATCGTCAGTCTCAGCGAGCGGGGCTTCACGGGGCGTTCAAAGCGTTCCTGTCCTCGAGGCTTAACAATTTGAAAACGATCGTTCACGAATCCGACAGAGATTTGCCCGTCGTCAACATCAAAGGAGACGTCCTGTTCAACTCCTGGAAAGACATATTCAGCGAGAACGGCGCGTTTATATCGCAACAGCCCAGGATATACAGTTTTAGTGGCAAAAATGTGCTCACCGATTTCACGTGGTAAGGGCAATTTATTGTTATTATACACGACTATAACGACAACTGCCTATAATAATAATAATTACAGGTGAAATAATCGTTTGGAAATTTATTATTATGTTTACATTGTTATATTATATTGTTACCATAATAGTCGAATAGCAATATACGGGTGTAGTAACCGCTAAGGGTAAGATATTTGTACCATATTATATTTTATAGGAAACCCGTAAGTATATAATTCTTATATATACCTATTAGGTATGTTACTTAATGACTTGAAACTATATACAGTTTATGAGCATTCCGAACGTTACTGGATTCCAAAGTAGTGAATTTTCTAATAAAGTGTCTATGTATAGGTACGTGTATTGACATATTGTTTATAAGTATAGGTCATTTTCCCATAAACCCTAAATATATAACATGTATATTGTGTACATTTATAATGCGTATAAACTATATATATAATACAGTTATCATTACTAATAACGATTTTCTATTTATTCCATCTTGAGTGGATTTATAAATGAAAAAAGGGAGGGGCTAGACGAAAAAATGTACCTAATTCATGTACATAAAATCATAGGCATTAAGTCTATGTTTTTATACTGAATGAAATATTCATCATACATGAATATCATAAAATAATAATAATAACAAAGTTACCTTTATTGCATGTAATTGCGTAGGCAAGAGTGAAATATTTTTAAGTAGCTAAAGCCCAAGGGGCAGGGGGCTTCAGCCTACATAGCCCCACCTTGTATTTAATATGTTTTTAATTAATAATGTTTAACACGACTCTGGTCTAATAAAAAAAAAAAAAAATACAACAAAATGTATTATATTATATTGGAAGTTTAAAATGTTGAATAAACATAAAAAAATATAAATAATAAGTATTATAATAGTGTATAATATTATTAAAAGAGTGTAAGCACTGTAAGCAGTGCGTCGTTCTAAAGTTAACGTCTCTTTATTTTCCTCTAGCTTTTTGAGGAATGATTTGCAAAGTTATTAATAATATGATTGTTTCCTAAAATAAAAAATGCCCTTAAAACTGCTTGTTTAAATAATACGAGATATTAGCTACCACGGTCTCGTCGAACTCGCGGCAGAACATTTTACTTTTTATTTTCTCTTCTCCCGTTGCACGTATCGTATTACGGTATTTTTAATGCCGCGAAAGCATTCGGGCACAGCATATTAAAAGCCATTCTATATAACAATAACAATTCGTTTTAAATGAGCGATTCCATTGTAGTAATTTTTCACTTTCGCGGTATGCCTTTGAGAATAAAAAAAACGAGAAGCCATTGTCTTTTCGTCACCGGTACCTACCTATTATAGGGTAGCGGCGGCGGTGGTGGTTTTCGCTTATAATATACGCGAATTCTGTTCAAAAACACGACTAAAAAATATTTAGCTGAAAAGCGCTATTTCGCAGTGTCAGCTAAGAGTTATATACTATAGTAAATTATAAGAAACAAATTGCGAGAAAAAAATGAGAAAGAAAACGGCGAAGGTGGTTTAAAAAATTTAAAAAAAAAAGGGTCATATCTCGGGGAATAAGTGAACTGTTATTACTTATTATAATATGTGTCTGGTCCTTTTATTTTCGGCAGTACGCCACGAGAGTTGACTGCAGTCCGATTCTATAAATTAAAGTCGTTTTAATAATCGCACGCACACGGCTTGTGATGTACCTTTTTTTTATTAGATAAATAGAATATTTACAATCTGTAATTTTTATGATACAATAAGTAAATTAGGTAATGAAAGAAACAATAATAACATGAATGGCTTGAGGAGGGAGGCCCACCAGTGTGGGTACCCTCTAACTTGGGGTGAGGGATGTCATGGAGTGGACGAAATGGGAAGTGTAATTTTGTTAATTAGGGAAGTAAGAGCCAATAGAAGAGGGTTTAAAATACATTTTAAATCTTCAATAAATTTGTTGATGATGTGGAGAGGTTGATTGACTGATGAAGAGTTGGCTGTGGCTTTGGCATAAGATGTCGGTTTTTGATTTGAGTTGTAACTGGGGACGTTGAAGATTTGTGGTGCAACAGGTACAGCAGATGGTGGGCTGGGGTGTTTTTTCGGTTTTTCAACTTTGTCAGCTTTGTAAGCGACTTTGTAAATGGTGCGCTTTAGTAAATTTTTAAAAATTTGACAACCTTTGTAGTTGGCAGTGTGGTTACCGTTACAGTTGGCGCATTTAACGGGTTCTTCCCGTGGTTTAGAGCAATCTTCGGTGAGGTGGCTTAACCCACATTTCACGCAACGCGGAGGTTGGTGGCAATAATTGCGTGTATGTCCATACATTTGACAAGAGTGACATTGGGGAGGACCAAGTGGCCTTATCGGATGCTCGAATTTCACAATTGAGTTAAACAATTTGTTTATTTTGAAAATGTCGTTGTTGTTGCTGTTGCGGGCTAGGGAAATATTGAATAACGGAAGTGGCGATTTGTTTGTACGATTGAGTATGTTTGAAATGCTGATAACTTTGTGTCCAAGGTCTCTTAGGCTATTAATGATGTCCTCGGTGGTGGTAGAGTGGTGGAGGTGACGTAATACAACGCGGAACGGTTGGAGAGCGCGGGGTTGATAACAGTGAAAATCACAGGCGGCATTGATCAGATAAGATTTAATGGCTACATACTGAGCTCGTGTATTTGTCCGTAAAATTAAACTGGATTTTTTAGCTTTGCAGGTGAAGCTCTCTGGGCCCACCAGACGGGTAAGATCCTTATTGAGAGTAGTAAAGTCACTTACGTTTTTTAGGACGATGTTAGGAAGTTTGAGGTTATTCTGAACTGGCAACGTTACGCTGGATGGTGAGACGGGGAGGTTGGCGATATCAAGTTCTTCGTCTTCCGTTCTTAAGACTTCAAAACGGTTTGGGGAAACAAAAACTTTGCTCTTTTTGTCTTCGTGGACCGGAGAGTTTGGTGATGACGATGACGATGAGAGGGCTCTTTTTGTTGGAGTGGCATTCATTTTCGATTTGCGAACGGTGTTTTTGTTAATTATAACGATAGGAGAAACCACATTAGCCATGGCAATTAAAAGTAAACTGATAAGATACGTAACACATTACGGAACAGCGCACATGCTATCGCTTTGGCTGCCGAAACCCGACTGTGATGTACCTATAGCTGATGATTGTAATAAATGGTAATTTAATAACCTAACCTTTACTGTTCGTACACATCTGCAGGAGTGTCGAGGACGGTCCGATAAAATACCGTATAAGAAGTTATTTATGTAGGTAATTATGCAATCTACCATTTATGTAATTTTGAGTGGTAAGGAGTGTCATACGAATTTCTAATCTGGGTTTGCAAATTCATGTGAATGGTGATCTAGATATTGACATATTAAATATTTCGAAAAAGTAAACTTTTTCCATCAAGGAGAACTGCGAAACCTGTTGCTAGATATTTGGATATGTAATTTACATGTTTTTAATTTTTGCGGTGGAAAGATTCTCGAGTGAACTTCATAACTAGCCTAGGACAGCTTACGGAATCGGTAAGTTATATCTTAACAAAAACAAATTTCAAAATTCACTGGTTTAGGGATGAAGAGTTGTATGTTTCATGCACAATTTATGTAATTTTGATTTTGAGGGGGAATGATTGTCATGTGGATTTCCAAACTGGTATTGTAAATGCATGTACCTATATGTCATCCTTTCTATTCACAAATAAAAAATTGTGACGGACCTGTTCATCACCACTTAGGTATGTATTTAACTATTTTTTTTTGTTTTGCTGTGGAAGAAATGTGCACTGAACTTCATAACTAGTCTAGAACACTTGCGGGAACGATAATTTAAGTTTTCGCAGTAAAAAATTACTTACACACCGATGTCCAACTTTGGGTGTTCCTCCAACGTTAAAGCAGGTTTCCACTGTACACGAAAAATGTCCGACTATGTCCGACAACACAGGGTCGTGGTTAATCGCGTGGTAACCGCCTAACCTGACCGACCAATCATTGGAAAGGATTAACGTGTATGGTGCGGAAACCCTCCTTTACGCTTGCGAAGTACGACACGTAGTGCACTAGACCGTGGAACACCCGTGTTCTCGCATTTCGGCGACCAGCTGATATAGCGACCTTGCGCAGGGACGTCGCTTGCAACCGCGGCCAAAAATATCGGTCGCTTCAGTGTACCATAGTATGGTATTATTTTTGGGGGGGAGCGATTTTCTTGCAACCATCTGCAGGTACAAAATACTTAAAGACCTGATGAAAACAATAACTTATAATAGGCATTTAGGTCTGGCAGGCCATTAAACAATATAATATTATTATAGGCATTTAAACGTAAAATTTTAAACTTCGAATGTTTTTAAAAATAAGAATTCCAAATATTTGAAACCCTGTTTGTTACATTTTTTATATATAATATCCGTTGTTAGCCGGTTATGCGACTAAAATGTTCACATATATAGGTCGGTATTTGATTTTTGATCAATACAAATATTACAATAATATTATAATCCATTAAAAAAAAAATAGCAGTGGTTCACGAATTCTACAATGGCTATGATCGTTCAAATTAATATATACACGAAAAAGAAATACTTTCAATTTTTTAATTTTTTTTTTTGTTTTTTTTTTTGTGTGTACCAAAATGTATTATATTGGCAATTGGTTTAGTATAATAAATTGATAGAGTATATTATGCTTTATTTACTCCGATTCCGGCCAAAACAATGACATGAAAATATAATAATAATAATATGTTACCTGTAACATATTATTATACCTATTGTAAAATATTTAACAGTTAATAATATTATTTATCGATTTTTTGGAACTTTCGTGAAATGGTTTATTAGGGATTGTTAATGTATTCATTAACCCAAACTATTCTAACACCTCTATATATATATGGAATATAGAGATGTATAATGTTATTAGGTGTTAACTTATTATATAGTATAAATTATCAGAATATTATTACTGAGTGTTGGACGTAAGTAGGCGAAAGAGAGCTGATAACGGTTTTGTCGATGAGTAATTTAAACTTTTAGAAGTGAAGAAAGAAGGGGAATAGAGAATTATTGATTAATGAGCTTAGCGTTGTGATTAACTGTGAAAAATTTTCGACAATACGATCTGTGTGAGAATTTCGATGGTTGGGAGCTTATGTTTTGGTTTTGGGTTAAGTCAGTACCTATTATTAATATGCCTCAAATGATTGTTGCATTGCTATAATAACATGTGTTATGATATATTGTTGTTATACATTTAAAAATCTTCAAATTTGTTAGAATACGTACGTATCCATTGATGTTTCAATTTACGCATTACAACTCCCAGTCAAGTGCTACTAATGGGTGATTTCTTATTCAAATGTTCAATGTATTTCTTCTGTCACCACAAACACTTATTGTGCTAATTACTAAATAGTTAATATTCTGTATATCTTAAAAAAATAAAAAATAAATTGATCCTTGATTTAAAAATAGGTACCTAAAAAGTAAAATCTTCTCATCATAGACTTAGTACTCAGTCCAGGTATATTTTAAATAGAGTAGAATATTTATTATATTAAATTATAAATTGCATACATTTTCCTACTACACTATACGACATACCTACGTTTCTACGTATATCTATAAACAAGTTATAAGATAGTGTCACTCATAAGAAATCTGTATAGAAGATTCCCAACAAGTGTTTCTACCTCAATCAAAAAAAAAAAATTCACAGGAAAAGTAAACTATTTATAGATGTGAGATATTTTTGATTTTTATTAATCTTTTTTTTAACTATTCAATTTGATTATATATTTAAGTATGCTAGGATGAACTTCTCCGCTCAGAATAGTTGTTTCGTTTTATCATTAAATTAAAATATAACGCATCCATTACAACGACATGCTCGACAACTACTGTACACCAGAGCGATACCCACTTGTCCACCTTTTTTATATATTTTATTATAGATTTGAAAATTAGCCTTTTTTTGAGGAGAGGGTATTATAATGTCAAATATTTCAAAGTCACACATTTTGTCTAAGTCTTAACCAATGTAATTTTGAATGACCGGTAGTTATACGTTATTACAAATATTGAACGGAACTTATGAAACCATCAAGGTTCCAGTCCCTGCTGAAGGCGCTGAACTCTATAGTGTTATATAGAAAATAACATACACAACTCATTTTCGCTAATAATAATGAAATATAAACAAGTCGGTAAACACAACCAAAAAAAAAAATCAGTAGTTGCCGTACACATAGAGCTTACTTACCTGTCATAACGGCAACGTGGCAATAATATATTATTATATAGTATATTATATAACATCATGTACTACGGTGTTTATGATACCTCCAGCACAGCCTTTTCGGAGGTGATCGCCAACGATAATTATTATGAAATGTATACATCTTGTAATATATATATCGCTGATGGATTAATACATTTTTTATTATTTTTACTATATTATTGTATCTATTGTTGTTCAGGCCTCAGAAGACCATATGGCACGGATCGGACATGTCCGGCGACAGTGCAGTGGACGGAAACTGTGACGCTTGGAACTCGGAGAGCTCCGACAAACGGGGACTAGGCTCATCGTTGACTTCAAAGTCCGACCGGCAGGCAAAGCTCCTAGACCAGGACTCGGCTTTCGACTGCCGCAACTTTTTCGTCGTCCTTTGCGTGGAAATCACACCGCACTCGGGGGCGATGTTTTCTAGGAAACGTCGCAGTGGCGGAGGAGGGTTGCACGACGAACCTCAGCCACCGATGAGCCGCCAAGAGTACGAGAAGCTCATCGAAGACATCGGAGCTTGAACACTATACGATATACAAGCCCGAAAACGCATCCGTCTAGCCGGCTGTACCTATTCGATTATTACAAAATAATATTACGTTCTCATTTCGACTTCATATTCTTTAGTGTGTACGGCGCCGCCGACACCGCGCTTCTTGTCCAATTTAATTTTCCAATTTTTTTTTTTTAAGACACCACTTTGCTGTAAGCCATACATCACCTATAATATAAAAGGGAAGCGACATAATAATATTACGTTTAAGACACAATTAAAATTATTGTCATTCTATTATCGACTACACCATTACGGTTAGGATATGTCCTTCATTCCTCGTTACTTTTAGTTATAAAATACAAAAACATATTTTAACAATCGCATATCATTCATACTACTCTCGCCATATCTGACTCTAAAATATTATTATTATTATTATTATTATTATTATTATTATTATTGTACTTACTATGTTATAGTTTCGAGATTTCTGAAACCACAACTGCAGTGGATCGCTTAAAAATTATTATTATTATCACACTTCATATTATGATAATATTTCACTGTAGTCAGCTCACCCTTAACATTATCATCATCAAACTTACACATACCTCGTTATTTGACTTGTATGTTGTGGATCTTTTGAACTATTTTTATTCGAAATATATTTCAATATTTCCATCGGTTCAAAACATAATATTATGTTTGTTTTGTTTTTATTTGTTTATACGTAGTAAATAGTATTTTTGATAACTTACTTAATGCTATTGTATTCCTAATGAATTTTCAATTCTCAATTCGAATCAGAATTAGATCGTTTTTCAGAAATACCTAATAGAAAAACAGTAACACTATTTTAATAGTTTTCAAAAATATCTTATTTTTTGCTATCGACAAATGTATACAACATCAAAGCGTTAATCGTATTATCGACGGAGATAATGCCGATTTTTAGTCAAATTTCTAATTCCATGTCATTAATAACCATTTGCATTTACATGAAAATAAAATTATTGTTTTGGACATTTAGTATATTATATTTGATAATTGTTTTACATTTATGTGTTCAAGTAATAATATTGTATATTTATTTTAAATATTATTAAATCATTTTATACTATACATAAATGTATGAGGTCTGTTTAAAGAATAATCGTTTATACTACAACATATAAAAACATTGATTTTATAAAACATTTTGTACATTTTGTACATTGTATATATAGTTATAAATCAACTAATTTTATAAACAAAAACTTAACAACTAAAGCATTAGTTTGTGTAATGATAGCATGAGTATAACCTATTAAAAATTAGAAAAATTAGTTTGAAACCTAAACCAGTGTCATCGATTAAAATATCAACATAAAATTAAAAATTGGTTTGTGTAAAAATTCCGAGTGATAGGAAAAATGTTTATATGATTATGTATGATGATGATAGATAAATAATACACATTGTTATGTATTACATAAAAATTCAATTAAGAAATAATTTGAAGTGTGTTCTATATTTCTATAAATAGAAATGTATTTAATCGATGAACATTTTTTTTTCTTATAGTCATAGAATATATTATAGGATATTGTAAATTGTAATGTATTATTTAATGTCTAGTGACTGTAGAAGACATGAAAATCCTTTATATATTTATCCAAAGGTAGGGTTAATTTGATAAAAATTCCTTTTTTTAAGTTAAAATATTATGTAACATAATTATTACAAAATGTTTTCAATATTATTTATTTATTAGTTCAAGCACAAACACATAAATACAATTTGGAAGACATTATTTTACTTTGGTTATAACTTATAAGATAAAATAAGAGTATTTTTTAAATTTATTTCAATTACATTATCTAAGAAACTTATACAATAAGGTAAAACTAATTAAAGCGAGATATTTAATATCTTAGTCAAAGACTATAATTTTGAACATTTACTGAAAATATAATATGTAATAGGTGTATGATTTTATTCATTTACATAAACAGTTTGTTTTTAATATAGTTTTAGAAGAAATAATTACAATAAATTATAATTATTATTGTTAATTAAAGAATACATTTTTATTGTAGTTAACTTTTATACCTATCTAATTAAATTGTATTTACTGCATTTTAATTTTAAAATATAAATGCAATTTGTAACAAAACTACATGTAATTTACTGAACCATTACAACTTTAGGAGGTTACAATTTCAGCCAATTAAATTAATCCAATACTTCACTAAAATATAATAAATTGTTCTGTATCTTACATAAATTTTACCAGCCTATAAGTTTGTTATTGTTTGTAAGTGTATGTTAAGTTAAATGTTTAATAAATTAGATCATTCTGTATTACTGTATTAGGTACTATAATATTATTAAATGTGTAAACAATAAAAAGAAATTGCAATTATTAAAATTTCGTTACAATTAATTAAACCCTAGTCTAAAATGTATTAAATTGTACGTAGCGTACTTCCCAATCCTATAACTAAAATATTCAATCCACTAAAAAAACATAAACCATAAACCACCAAGATCTATCAAGTGCATTTTTTTGATTCAATAACACTCATTATTTTTGTTTTGTATTATATAACAAGAATAAACCTCAAATTCATGCAGAAGATGAGTTACAGATAAGTTCCCCACACTGTTTCTGTTTCCATCCACCTTAATGTATTCCTAATATTAGTGACATTATTATATTAAATGTAATGTGTAACACGGCGTTATATGTAGGCAGTTTATGTGCATTTGCTTAAAACAAGTAACAACTCTTTATCGATACACAGTACACAGTAAAAACTATACAATATTATAATACATTATAAGAAAAAATCCTCATTACTTGCTCTTTATAATGCTTTACTGTATATTTGAAGAAATATACATAATACAACACCATTTTTATTTTCAGATACATTATGTCAGAGTAATGATAATACAACGTATTACATTTGTTAGACCTTATCGCTTAGACGTTTTCTAATGTTCTATGTATAAAAGTATAAAACATAATGAGTATTGGACGATTAAATTAGGTAATCTAACTAAATTATAACTATCTTTTATTTAATACATAAACTAGTTAAGTTACTGCTTTTTGATTTATGATGTTGATAATATATTAAGATATTGTATTTACTGTCCATAGTTACTATCTTACCTAATGTATGATGCATATTATGGATATGTGGTTTTTATCCGTTGTATTAAAATACAGTTAGAAACCGGGAATTCAGCAAGCACGGAGAGTAAGATCTTTTCTAACCAATCTACCCCCCCCCCCTTCTACGAATATAGGAAAAAGTTATTTGTACGACAAAAAAATTCTTGCGTGTTAATATATAGATAAATTCTCGTTGCCTATTACTTGTAAATTGCAAGAATGATAAATAAATGTAGGTACCTAATGTCCTAATATATTAAAACATTACCACAGGCTGTAACTTTTAAAATAGAACATTTTTATACTCACTAAAAACAACTGAACACTCTTTTTCGTAAGTGATGGCCTTATTATTATAACTTTCTTATTGAAAATGTTTTTACCTACTTGAATCTCCTATCACACCCAATAGGGTGAATTGTAAACTTTTTTTTTTTATTGATCCTTAAGTCCGGCATCTATGGCCATTAGCTGTTAGTAGGGTTCTATTGTGGTGGTGGTGGGATTTTTGAAGTGGTGGGTTTTTACACGTGAGTGTTTGTGTTTGGCAGAATTTTTGATTGGGCACCCGTAGGTATCTGCCATGCCCTGGTGGGGGATGGCCGCACTTGTTCTCCGGACACAGTGACTTTCCCGGAATTGTAAACTTATATTGTGAAAATTCATAGATTCTTTTGTAATTGATCTTAAGCATCGGCGACTATTGCCATTATTGCATATTTGTAAGGGAAACATATTTGTTGGTCGAGAAACACGTGCATGTGGGGCGAGGATTCGTCACTAAAAATCCGGGTGGTCACCCGTAAGTGAACTAGCGACGCCGATGGTTGACCTCAGAACACGTTAGTGACAGAGGCCAATCGTCGAGCCCCACCAGGCCTCTCATAGATTTTTGTTTGGTAAAATAATGCAGGGCTTTGCACCCGAACGTAACCCGAAACCCGAATTATTGAAAACTAAATGGCATATCAATTTGTATGTATTTTTTTCAACTACTGCGACTAAGGAGATAAGAAGATAGTAGTGTAAGTGTGTAACGGATAACTCAATTTATTTATTTGTAACCAACAAAATAATACAAAATAATTAATTAAATATTAAAAAAGACCTTGATGCTAGATGATTGTTTTATTTTATTTCACAATATTCAATAATAGACAGTAGTAATTGTGTTGTCTAACATTCTTAATCAAAAATAAATAAAACGAAAATACGTTTAGTTAAAAATTAAAATATGTAATAAGCGAGAACTTTCTTCTGTAGAAAAAGGACTGAGTAAGTACTAGATAAATAATAAGTAATAAACCAATAACTAATAAGTATTAGTATTTTATTTTTTTTCATTATGTTTACTTTAAATATAAAATCAGATTACAATATCAAATTTGCATTGAAAATCTCATGTTAATTGAAATACAACATCTGTTTTTTTAACACCCGAATTAACCTTAATTAACCCAAATAAATTTGTATTTAACCGTAACCAGAAAAGTGTATTAATCCGTAACACCCGAATTCAATAACCCAAATTTTCTTCCAACACCCGAAACCCGAAAAAATGATTCCGGTGCAAAGCCCTGAAATAATGTCATGTTCCACGTTCAATTCAAATCTGTGAAAATAGTATTACATTCCAAGAGGCAGTTCACGCTTTCTAGTGTAGAACGAATCAACTTTACAATTTGACAATGAATATTAACAGTAGATGGCGGCACTACATCATTAGCCGTTCAAACCATTCACGCCATTATATTAATAGTATTGTTATAAACTAAAAGAAAAATAGTATTGTCGTCTTGCCAAGTAATCAACAATAATTAGGTATCATAATTATAATCATTACAGTAGAAGATAGTCATGTG